CCAGGTGGAATCGCGACGCAGCATATTATTCATCGCTTATCGCTACTTTCGAGTGACAGCAGTGAAAGTGAAAATGGCTTTTGCAAAAGAACCTCGGTTAAAAGCACGGAGGCAAGGTATTCGGTTCGCGAGAGCTGTCTTGCGGATGTAGTAACGCCTCGACGTCATTCTGATCCGATGTGTTACACGAGAGAAAACGTGGATCGATCAGGGGTTTCTAGAGAACGGCGAGGTAAATCGACAGGTAAGGAGTCAATTACATGCCTCAAAACGAAAAACTTATCAGACTGTGTCAAATCCAAAACGAGAATTGATAATGAACAGACTGGCCAACCTGTGAGACGGCGAAAGTCTTCGCTCGTCCCTGTGCCTTTTCACTCGACGCAGCACAAGACAAAAGAAGCTCAATCTAAGGTATCAAATAGCCGCCCTTTATCATTCCCTCCCAGCGAAAAAATCTACAATAGACGAAGTAGTCTACCATGTTTGAACAGACAGAGTGAAGCTGCAAAGGGAAGCGCCACAACTGCTGTTAACGCTAATGAATATCTTGTAAACGAAGAACTCCAAGAGCTGGATTCCGACGAATCGAAGGAAGACAAATACACTGCAAATGCAGACATTTTGGTTCAGTGGATGAAGTTTTTCGGCTGATCGTTTGAAATGCTTTACACACAGTGCCGTGAAACAAAACAATCATTAATACTGACAAATGACAATAAATGGTTTTTAGTTTTTCTGTTTTTAAACCATTCATTCAAATGAGAATCCACTGAAGACGATGAATTGTTTGTTTTGTAATAAATAATTAGAACTAAGAAAAGTATTTCCGACCTGATCATTGTCTTGTGTCTTGTTTGCCTAAGAAATTTGAATGTTATCTGACTGGCTTTTTGGAAGCAAGGAATCGGAAGTTGTTTTAATTGTGCTTTGGTGCGAACGACCGAGGACTGAAGAAAAACAAGGGGAAGGAGACGAAGAAACGGGTTCTTAAATTATTACTAATCACTGATGCAAATTTAAGCGAGTAATTTTACGACACCCGCCAGAAATTTTTCTTTGTTTAACAATAGCTGGAACAGCTCAGAAGAATTGCTTCCTTAACGCTTTCTTATCGCATTAAAGACCACAAACAAACAGCCTCAAAACGTTTAACAAACACACTGACTCGTCAACCTCCAAACTCCATCATTTTCAATCTCAATACCCAACTCTGGTCGAGTTCCAAGGGAGTTCTTACATCATGAATTAGATACAAAACGAATGGAGAGAGTCGAAAGTATTTACTAATAGACTACGTATCACTCGAGTATTCAGAAACGCAAAACTACGAAGACACCTTCAGCTATTGTTATAAATAATGCACATTTGACCGAGAGAAGTTTCAGTCAGAATATTTATAACACCTTACGAGAATACCTTGAAGAGAAACAGCTGCCAGAATTAAAAAAAAAAGAGGAATGAAGTAAATATAGAAGAAAATAAGGTTATCACTGACATAAAGGGCATATTTAGATGTTATTTTCATCTTCTATGTCGGATACGGTGTTACGAGCTTCTTTTAAGATGCTTTTAAAACAGTATTCCACAGTTTAAATTAAATAAGATTTTTATCAGTCGCTGTTGCCACTGATGTTTTTGCATACATAAAGACGGCTTTCAATTATTAAGTTTTAGATTAACATCGATTTGAGGCAAATTAGCGATTCGCTGTCAAAACAAAATTATGTTTATAATTACTCCTTGGCGCGCAGTGCTAAAAAGCTGTAAAAGGTTCCTTTCCCTGTTGGAAATCGCAGGATCAAAACAAATTATTGAAAGCCTCAGCAGGCTTTATTCATTGGTCACCTTGTCATGAGTAAAAATAAAAGTTGCCTTTGTAACAGGAAAGAGACATTTGCACCTTCCGATAGATTCTTTTATTTGTGTTTTTTCTCATTATTTCTCGGTCAAAGCAGTTTCGCCCTCATTGTGAAGATCTCTTCTTAGTGGACAAAAGTTAATTTTATGGTTTTGTTTCCAGTTAATCATTCGCAACACTAGTGGAGGAGTTAAATGTCAAATTTCACAGCACGGCAAGAGTAGAAAAAAATTTTAATCACACCTTCCACAATACTAGCAAGTTATTTTGGCATGAGTTATCGACGGTCATTTTTGCAAATGAATGAAACCATATCGGACTCCTACAACAAACAATAAAAAAATCATCGATAGAAACAGATCAATATTTATCTTTTCATTGTTTTGAATTAAAATTGAGACACCACAGATTTTGGTTTTTTTTTTCCTTTTTTTCTTTTACCACAAAGCCACTTTCGAATGTTTTACGATTACCTTAGTTGTCCTGGTTTCATTTTTTTTTTTTTTTTTTTTAATGAGAAAAAAATCATTCCTTTATATTCTATCTATAAAATTTAATTTTGATTTTCCCTGGGGTCTGAGTTTGCTTGGCACCATTTGCGCTAGTAACCGACCAACATATTTGCTGAGTTTGTTTGCGGCTTTTTTGTACTGATTGAAAATTTGGGAAAATGTACTTAAGAAAAACATATCAACATTGAAAAAATGTATTGATGCGACAAAATGACTTTGATAACAAAGATATCAAGGATAATTTGCAATTTTGCGTGATTCTATCCTCTCCACGCAGTACACCTGTAACATAGCGGTAGCCATATGATAATGGTTTCAACTGAGCTCTGAAATAATTCATAATACTACATGCATACTTTGACAGATTTTGCAAACTATTTCTAAACCATAGAATTCTTGGCAATTTCGAGTCAAAGACGACAAACGACATGAAAAAACAAACAAACAGACCAACGAATACCATGAGCTTTAAAAAAAAAAAAAAACGAATGAAAAAGCAAGGGAGCTTCTTTTCAGGTGGCTGTTATAAAATGGTGGCCTGTCGTAACATCAGCGATTATTTAAGACATGGTGCGGGTCAATCAAGACAGTCATTGACTCGGACCTTTCTCACACTTGTTCATGGTTCTAATGCTGCACACCATACAAGAGAAGTTGTGCAACCGAGTGCCGCTATCACTCGATTTATTCGCCAAGTAATACACACACCGGCTTTTCAGGCTGTTTCGAAAAAAGGTTATCCCGTGCAAAAAGACACTCAATTTCTCTTACAAATAATTGATACAACACAAGCAAATAGGCACAGCATTAAAAATATATTAACCAAAGTTGTACATTCAATTATAAAAGAAGACGTAAACACACTGTATTCTTTAAATAACCAATATCAACACTACACCGCATGCCTGACTAAGTCTCTTTATCTTCTTTATCCTCATGGACAAAAATTGAACTGTTCACCAGCGATAGCAAAGACAAATCAAGACATTTTTCGAAAAATTATCTGCTAAAAGACCACCAACCCTGCTAAATCACCTGCGCAAAAACATTCTCAAGATTTGACCCTCCAGCCGCAAAACGCTACCACACGTACGCGCAGTAAGCGTGCGAGCCGCTTACATGCGAGCTCGCAACTCGCAAACAAAAGATGACCTTGGTTGAATTATGGTCAGTTATGTCTTCAACAAAAATTAAAGTTTGTCAAGTGCCCTTTGCTTGACTACGATCAACATATATCTTTTCATAAAAATTTTAATTCTTGGCAAATTTATCACGGGTTGCACAACAAGACTGAGGATCGTTTGTACGTCAGTTCCTATGCAACTCCAATCCGCGCCAGCCGCCAGCCTGTGTACCCTCAGCGAAAGATAAGTGTTACTATAGAAACGCGAAACCTAAGCCAGTGACATACTCGAACTCTTTGTTATCAACAGGAAATTTATATCGGACCCCTTTCGAAACAAATTTGAAAAGCTTTAGAGGTTGGATTGAAATTAGCTTCGAAAGTTAAAAGTAGTCAGTTTTTGTAGGCTAGCTAATAGTTGGGTTACAGGGACGAAGACTCTTTTGCTTACAAAATTGTGCAAATTCAGGTGTGATTTAGGAGCTCTAATGCCTGATCCGGCTGAATGAACGGCTGGTTAAGATGACAGTTCCGCTAAGCCACACCACAATAACTTTCATTCAGATGCAAATGCCAACTCAGCAGGAGAGCGCACGTGAAGTCTAACTTTCAAAGTGTTGATCTTCCAGGAGTACCAGTCTCAAAGATCTCAACGGTTAATCACATAAGCAAGCACCTGTTCCTGCATCACATTAATCAGCCCAGTCCTGCCTGAGCTGAATTGCTATTTGCTAGCGCTTTGGTGTATCAATTTCCGCCGTCTGTCACTGTTTTGTCTGTTTTGTTTTTATGCTATTATGAGTAGTGAAGAGAATAATCTCTTAACTTATTAACGTAATAAGGTACTCATTGTATCTTCATCCAGTCTGTTGCATAATGTCTAGTGAATCCCACTGATTCATTCATTGCAATTTTTTTCACTTTTCGTCTTCCCATAAACTTTGCTATACCTGACCATTTCGTCTCCGGAGACGAGTCTGCAGGACTCTAAAGGACTTAAAGGAATGGACTCGACATCGATTCATTTTCCGGCTTCTTCTTTTGCTATCGCAATTGCACAAAGAAAATAACAACAACAAAAACAACTTCAGCAACATAAAAAGAACGACAACTTTTTTCTTATCAAGAATGTCCCTACATTGCCTTTCTCAGTCAAATTTCTCTGATACTTTGTTTGATGAGTTGCCATATTCGTCCAGGTCCACTGCATTAAGTGTATTTACAACTAGCAATCGTAAATGAGCAAAGTTTGTTCCCGTTTTTGTCTTTTGCGGAACGTTCACTAGCTGATATTTACCATCCTGCTCAAGTTATGGGGTTCAACCAGTACCTTCATAACCGGAAGTAAAAACTCACAAAAGGCCGCAATGCACTCTAGTTCCAATTAGGAAGCTCTGATAAAGACACGTTGCTTTTCCCAGAAAACGACCCCGCGTCGATCGAAGCTCCGACTTCAATTTACATTTTGCGTCTAGCTAGGTAATTTCTGTGAAGGGACTTTCAAATGGCCCAAACTAACCTTCCAACACAGCTTCAAGTAGGTGAGAAAATGGTAAATATCCAACAGCGACTTGGTAACGGCGCTTTTGGTGTCGTCTACAAAGTAATAGAAGAAGGAACGTCCAAAGTATACGCTATGAAAGATATCCTTTGTTTGAATGATTCAGCCATTCGTAATGCCATCCGCGAAGCTTCAACACTAAACCGAATCTCTCATGAAAATGTTATTGCGATCGTGAGTGTTGGCGAGTTTCGCGATAGCCGAGGTTCGCACATGTTGCTTTTGACCGAGTATTGCCCCGGCGGAAGCTTAAATGATCGCCTTGCTCGACCAAGCAGCGACCAACAAAATCTGACATGGATGACCCAAACCGCCGAAGCTGTTGCCCACCTTCACTCGTGCAACGTAGTCCACCGCGATCTGAAGGCAGATAATGTGCTCCTGACTGCATCAGAAGATGTCAAATTGGGCGACTTTGGCCTTGCCCGTGAGTATACCGCACTAAAACGAGCTGGCGTGGTACAGGATGATGGCTCGTGGCTGGCTATTTACGAGCAATACTACATGCAATCGAGAATAGGTCCAATCCACTGGGTAGCTCCAGAATTTCTCCGCGGCCATTATACTGAAAAGGCTGACATTTTCTCTCTCGGAACGCTCCTCTTTGCAATACTCGAGCGGGATTACATCGTGATCGACGGGAAAGCCATTTACGGGGCCTTCGTAAGTGTTCATGATAAAAGGAAGATTGGCGTCGGCCTTGCGATGGAGAGGGTTGATAGGAATACACGAATTCAATTTTCAAGTCACGCTCAAGGATCAAACGCTCTACAAAGGATCGTTTTAGAAGTGCTAAAGTACAACCCGTATGATCGGCCGACCGCTCAGGAGATTTGCAACCGTCTGAGGGTTATTTAATTAAGAGAGTGTAGAACCTGGCGAGTCTTCGACTGAGGCTGGCTCGAGCTGCTAAGCGTGTAAGTCTGCCGAACAGGTGAACTGGCACTTACCTACCTGGGTACACGACCAGACAAGAAACTTAGAAGAGAACTTAAAAACTATACATTTAACACTTGTCCTTTAATGTAAAGCGTTGTCACATGATTGTTGGGTACAGGACTAAGTTACAAAAATTAAGGTAAGAGGCATGCATATAAGAATTTCTGGAATATATATTGGTTGTGAGTTTCTAAAGGACATATAGGCGTCTTGTCAACACCGCTACATTACAGTCCTTGTTGGCCCTTTTCTTTTTATTAGCGTCTACTACAATCTCTCGAATTAGGCGACGAACAACACTTTAGGAATCTTTATGGTGATGTCGGAAACAAAGAGCGCTTTAGTGATAAAAATTTCTCACCGATATTGCCTATTAACAGTCTGAAATTCAGATCTTTTAAATATTTGTTTCTTCGGGCAACTTGACTGTTTTTTTCGGGCCACATTACTAAAAAATTTCGGGCAACTTGACTCAGGTTTCAGGCGACATGACTTCGGGCGAGATGACTCTCGGGCGACTTGACTGTAAACCCAAAAAGGAGATCAGTTGAACTTCAAATCATGAAAGAATTCTTACTGACTAGATTCCTATTTTCTTAAATTTTGCTCTCATAAAGACAATACAACTACTGATGATGAAGATATTTGCCCTTCCGACTGGCCGAAGGTCTATGAATTTTATATAAATTGCCACAAATGCACCACTACGTAGACAAGGGTTTACGGTCAAGTCGCCCGAAAGTCATCTCGCCCGAAATTTTATCGAGTGTTGTTTAAACTTGAAGAAAAGTAACATCTTAAGTAAATCGCAAGGAATAACCTCGTAAAATGTTGACTCGTGAAACTCAGGTTGTTCGTTTCGCTGTCGTTTGAAATCACGGAGATAGTAATCCTAAAATAGAAAACGAAAAAAAAAAAAAAGTCAGTCACATTATGGTTTTAACTGTTGTTGTTTTATCTGTGGAAGCATTCTGTTACGAACGAAGGTTCACATCAATACGATTGGAACATCGGAAAATGCCGCCATCTTGAGTATAGCACGTATAGTTCGGCGATACTGTAATCATTTGACATGATTATGATCCCTTTAGACACAAACAGATCTACCAAAAAGGTATTTCTCCCCGTTGTTTCAACGAGAGCTATCTAGTTTGAAAATCCCTTTTCTTCTTTTTCTTGGACCTGTGCTTTTGACTCACACAGATGAGCAAGGTTAATTTTTAACTGCACAGGCATTAATTGCTCTACACCATCTAGCCTTCAAACAACCAGGGTTTTTAAAAAAGGTGAAAGTAAAAATAGAAAATTTGACAAATTGATGATTGAAATTTCTTCATTGTTTTAGGGAGCTGTGAGAAGGATTTGTGAACTGATAAAAAAAGATGACTTTAGTGGATTGTATCTTGACAAAGAGTGTGTAACATGTTTTAAGATTAAAAAATGTTTCAGATATTTTATTTGATCCTGATTAAGCAGTGAAATCAGAGTCTAAGCTGCTGCTAGAGATATTGAGATGTTATGCGAATAACTTATTGTTACTGTTGTAGTATTGGTGTTGATATTGCGTTGACAGAATTGGATAGCTTTGCATATAAACACATTTATGAGACCATGTCCTCTCCAAAATTGTTTTGTGCATATAGGAGGATTTATTGATGATGGTTTTTGGTCTTCATAAAGTGCCTTCCAAGAAAATCTATGTAAAGTAAATTTGGCAATTGTATGATATAATCTAAAGATCAATCTGTAGTTGAGGCAAAAGAAAGAAAAAAATTAGGATGTTTATTTGTGATAAACAATAGTTTATATGGACCATTTGATGGAAAATAAGGATGAAGAAATTATACAGTATATCATGCTTAAGAATTCCATGCTTACACTATGTACTCACATACTTCAAGAGTAATTAATGATTTGCATGATATTTTTCCATTTGAAGTCTTAAAACACCCAGTCTCCTGCTTGGTGTATTGTTTCATAAAAGTTAATGAGACGAACTACAGCTTTTGAGGTGGTTAACTGAGCTGACCAGCATAAAAAAAAAGAGAGCAACCGAATTACTTATGATAGAGGTAATGAGCGTTGAAGAAAGCTGCTATGAAGATGATGAGGATGGAAACTCTTTAAGAGTAGCCAAATACTTTGTAGGTAGACTTCAATTGGAGAGCAAACAAATGAAGAAATTATCAAAAGACTTGATATGGTTTACTCTAAAAAAAAAGCTGACTACCAGAGCTTAAGATAGAATCCTGCCTCAGGTTGATGGGGAAACCTTTAGTGAAATGCACACCCACTGAATAGATTCTAGAGTGGGCAATAATGCAGTAGAAGCACTCTTACTGTTTTGCTGAGTAATCAGCTTGAAAATGCACGATCTATCCAGATTACTATATAACAAGAAAAACAACAAAAAATATATAACAAAGCCGAAACCTGTACTCAGACTTTGGCTTTTGGGCAAGCCTGAGTAAAAAGTATTAATTGGCCAAGTTTAGAAGGGGTTCAGGGCGTGGAGTTAATTTTGTTTTCTGATAGCCACTTGGCTCCTAAATTTTTCAAAGTGGTAGCCAATTCAAAAAAAGTTCTTAAAGACAAACAAAACCCTTTTTTACGCTGTCAGCCTTCTAGATAAAACCTCCAAAATTGAGCCAGGAAAAGGATCTTTAACGTGCTACAAAGTGGACACTAGGATGGAAGATACTCAACGTTCAAGCTCACCTAAATCCAAGATGGCGTCTAGTTATCGATCGAGATGCATGTGCTGCGTTTTGGAAACAAACTTAACGAGGAAGTTTGCCGCGAATTTATCTTTGAAAATCTTTTTGGTAAAAATTTCCACACAGCCCCATACTTTTGTCAAACAAATCTGTTTTCCCAATGGCAATGAAAGGAACTGGGCTCCTGATACATAATGTAGGATGGGGCTGTGCAAAATTTTACCGGATTTGGTAACAAAAGTGAAAGATTTAGTCGCATTAACACCTGTATTAGGCGCGATTTCACGCCCTGGGGTTCCTTTACATGCTTGCATGAGGCTTCTTATTCGCTTAACATGTTATTTGGCAATTATTATGGCCCCATTTTATAGTAATTGTGAATTCTTCAATTTTGCATTTGATTTCCTCCACATGATATACATAGTTGTACACTTCATTTCTTTGTTTTAAACTGCGTTTAGAATAAGAAAACTAAATTGTGTAAGTGCTTTGCTAGAAGTAATTAGGGTATGCTATTATATCTAACAAGTGTTATATATGTAATAAAGTAACATTTAGTATACAATTATTACAATTTAGATTGATTTAGAAGAGTATCCTGATTTTTTAGATGATAACTGTTAAACTTGTATTTTTTATTGTACCAGTTCAAATCATGTTTCTTAGTTGCTGGATTTGAGAGTACAATATGTGAATTAAAAGCTTTTGGTGTAGTGTATTATTATAGCTAACTACATTCTTTGTGTATTGTAGTGAGAAAGATTCTATTACATATGACATGATTGAAATTATATGAATTATACCCTGGCAAAAAGAAACAATTTTAATAAAGTATGACAATAAGTAATTCATAACATTTAAACATCTCTTTTTTTTTTATGTGTAGGCCTCAAATGTTACAAGTCCAGATATTCTCAGCTTCATTGTGGGTTTGCTTTATCTTAGGGAAGCAATTGAGTTATCTATAAAATTATTTCATCGCTGCAATTTAAAAAAATTTTGTTATCACTTGCATGTCTTTTTTCCTAACAATTTGAAGATTACCCATTATATTAATATACATGAATATGGGTGTGATAAGGCAAATCAAGAGTCAATTAAAGGTGAAGCTTTAAGAAGCACCAAAAGGTCACTTAAAGATTAATGTGAACAAAACTTGAAATTTAAGAAAAACTGAAAGCACAACTTAAGTTGAATTACGACAAAACCTTCAACTTTAATTAGTAATTAAAGGGAAACAAATCACTGCGGTGTAAAGATGCCAGAAGAAAAACCATAGTATCTAAAAAAATTACATCATGGATGTTACTACTTCCTAAATGGGTAGGGATAATAAAGCACAAACTAACATCAGAAATAATTGGCTTTAGCTCCTACCTTCAAGCAAACCCTGCATTGTAATGTATTTTGCCTGACCGAAAAAACGCTAATCCTGTTTACTATATTTAACAGACAAAATAATCAATTATTTGACAGAACATTTATTTTGGTTATGAATTCTCGGAAAAACATTGCATTTTATGACTAGCGGGGGGAAGGGGGGGTCTTCCGTTTACAAAGGCTCATCCCGAATTAATCCCAACCAAAGCAACTAAAACAACCAAGCTTTGAATAATGATACTGTAAGACTTCCTCAATTAAATATACAACAGTTCAACTCATGCACAATCGAAATATCGCCTTAATACCGAGTACCACTGAAATAACACCACCCCTGTAAGTTCCCTTATGTCAAATCAATTGGCTAGTTCGTTTTTCCGAGAAATCAGAACCAACCATAACGCAGCGGCTGAACTCGTTGTTTCCATCAAATTGCCATTTCGAATAAAAATAAAGAGAACGGTTGTGGCCTGAAAAACCCGAAATGCAACAAGCCGGGATTGATCTTCCCCCAAGACTGCGTGTAGGCGACAAAACAGTGAGAGTCGAACAGCACCTTGGTAGTGGTGCATTTGGAGATGTTTACAAAGTAAGAGACGATGCGCGCTCTAAAGTCTATGCCTTAAAAGACGTCCTTTGCTTAAACGTTTCAAAAGTTCTTGATGCAATCCGTGAGGCAGAGACACTGTGCGAAATCTCCCACGAAAACATAATCGCCCTAAAGCGGGGAGCAGATCGGTTCGTCGACAATCAAAACAACTTGCACATGTTGATTTTGACTGAGTATTGCGCGGGTGGAAAAGTTAAACGAACGCCTTTCTCGACCAAGCTCCGAACGAACCAACTGGAAGTGGATGAGTCAAGCTGCTGATGCTGTGGCCTACCTTCACTCAAACGGCGTGGTTCCCCGCGACCTAAAACCGGAAAATTACTCTTGAACAGACGTGGAAAAGTTAAACTAGCCGACTTTGGCCTGACTCGCGAGTACATCGTACTAAGACGAGTTGACGCTCGAAGAAACGATGGCTCGTGGATGCAAATGGTCGTACAATACCACATGGACTCCGAAGTTGGCACGTCGTTCTGGCTAGCTCCTGAATGTTCCACGGGTTACTACACAGAAGAAGCCGTGTCTTTTCCCTTGGCGTGCTGTTTTTTGCCATCCTACAACGGGATTACATAAAAAGCAACGGAAAACCGTATTGCGGTGCATTCAAACGTATTCGCGGTGTCGGAGAAGTTGGCCTTAGGTTTGCGATGGCAAGGCACAATCCAGAAACTGACATAGCTTTTTCCAGACGCGCACGTGGCTCCAGGGATATGCAGAGGTTAGTCATTGAGGCTTTACAGTACGATCCTGATGATCGACCGAGCACTTACGAGCTATGTAATACATTTGAAGAAATTGACGACCTGGATCTGGAATGGCTCTTTAGTCTCTTAAGTGAAGATTCCACACTAGAATCAACATGAGGTTATCATAAGACCGTTAGCAAACAACACTTTAGTTTCCTAAAACCGTAACCATGCTCAATTTAATTCCTGTTCAGACCCTTATGGTCTGCGAGCTCATAATATTTTTACTTCCAAGGTCCAAGAAGTTGCATGTTGTATCTTTGAACTTGAGCAGCACACATTCCGTAAGGGCTACATGTCAAAAAGAAAACAACCTTGGTGAGAAAAAACTCACTAAATAATTTAAGAAATTCATCCTCATAGATCACAAAATTCGCCGATAAAAACTTGCGAAACAACATATATAAAAAATATCCTAACATTGTGTGAAAATTAATGTACACTATGACTGAATGAGAGGAAGGGAAGTGTAAACGAGTCTTTCTTTTGAGCAATGACCGTTTTCAAGCTGAGTAAAGTAATTAACAGTTTACATGGTGATAGGATCTTGTAGGGGAGCAATCATCGTTTTGAACGATAGGGTGTGGATTGCTTAAGCAGTATTTTTTCCAGTGAAATTCGTGCATGAATTTTTTTCCTTAACAAAAGGGTGAATAGGGTTAATTAATGAGCTTTTCTTTCTTGTCTGCTAACTTTGCATTAACTCTTTTAAAACAAATTTTCATTGCTCGAGTTCAAGTTCTCTAAAAATTTTTCAACCATTCTCGAACCTTTTCTACGGTTCACCGTGTATTGTACGTGGTAGACTTTATAGGAGATAAAGTACGTTCTCATATATTCACATAATTTGTTACTGTAAAGGCAGCATTACTTTACTGATGTGATAACTAAGGCAGCTAAAATTAAAAATGAAATGTTCTTTTCAGTTTATCGCAGCTTCCAAGTATGCAACGTTTGGTAATAAATGAACAAAATTGATCAAACATTCTGTAGTTCAGTCACGTAGTCACGTAGTGCATGACTGAAGTCTCCTGAACTTCACATTTCGTTTTGGACTCGACTGACCTTTTAGATAGAATTGTATTTAGGTGATAACTTTCCTAGTCTTTCCTGGAACTCTTTAGGGATTCATTCTCATAAATGACACAATCCTTCGCGACAAACTCGAAAAGGTTTGCAGCACAAAGTCAACAATGAATATAACGAAGCCAGGGATGCAAACGTCGACTTCAGTTTTGGTAATAACCTGAATAGTTTTTCATCACAACTAAACAATAGACATCGAGTCGACTGAGCCACGATATTATGCGAGTTAAACCAATATTTTAAACAAATACATTTGGATACTATCTACCTAGTAATTTCCAAGACTCATCTGGGACCATTTTGAAAAATACATCATAATAACAGGAAAAACAACCCAAAAAACACAACACAGAGAGCCCAAGTATTACTGAGGTTTTACCTGCGAAGTACTGGTATCCAGTACGTCATGCATTGAGTTATTATAATTGTCAATTCATACTAATGAAACCAGGAGCTTACCAGGCTAAGTTCTGTACGTAAAAAATAAATTCTTTTATTTCTAGCACAATAGCTGTACATTCGTATAACAAAAGGGCGCTTTTTTTTGGAGTGGAAATCAGAAGGGCAATCAGTAAAGTTGAATTTTTCCATAAAATAATTATAATTAAAATTTAAATAACAGTGATAATTATAAAATTAATTATTTAAATTTAAATGGCGTAAATTCCACTTAAGCATGATCAAATTCGCTTTACAGGAATAAAAAAACTGATGTTGCTCATTAGGACTGTCGATAGTATTGTCATGATTGCCGCTGATATTTATGTATTCCAATATCTAATATTTACTTCTTTATCCTCCAAAGGAGAGAGCAAGCTTTTATCTACATCCTTTATGGTGTTAATGGTCAAGTGTAGAGTCCTTAACCCTCGTAAGTTCCTCTCTCAATCTTGTGATATTACACTAATACTGCAGTCTTTTTCTCAGATCAAATTTAAAACCAGTGTTCACGTTCAATCATCGTATCAGCGCACAGTTTTGTACCACATTTCTATACTGAATCAATGAAGAAATTATATGCTTTCAGTTTACTCGATAAATTACCTATCCAATCGTACCTACACAGCACACAGCAATTTCAACCTCTTTAACCAAATTAATTAAACACTTCTAACTAACCGAGCATTTGTTCCTTATTCTCGGCCAACGCACTTTCCTTATTTTTGAACGCTTGCCGTGGATATGCTCCTCAACAGACCATTGCAGACGGATGTTTATGGCGATTTCCTCAATTCTGTAGTAAATTTCTTCGGCTCTGAGTCTTTCCTGCTGGATATAATTCAGAGTATCTATTATCAAACCTCGGAATCCATTCTCCTCGCTCAGCTTGTGATCATGAACGAACTCGGTCATGGCCGCTGGGCCGAGTATTGCCACCGCATACCCGAGGCCAAGTTTTACCCCGCCAGAAATCTTCATGAATGTGCCGTACCATCGCCTCTCGCTAGCCGAGTAAGCGAAGTCTCGCACAAGGATTGCGTTGAATAGAATACCGAGGGAGAAGATGTCTGCTTTCTCCGTATAGTGACAAGTGAACACCTCAGGAGCCATCCAATGAGCAGGGCCGGTCCCTGACTGCATGTAATATTGCGCCAACCCACAGTTTGAAGCCCACAGTGTTTCTACTCTTTTCAACGCAAGAAACTCTCTCGCTAAACCAAAATCACCAAGTTTTGAGTCCTCTCTTGTAGAGCCCGTCAGCATTACGTTATCTGGTTTAACATCACGATGAACGATCTGAAGCGAGTGCAAATAGCTCAGCGCACTCGCTATTTGGCTAAGCCATTTCAGAGTTTTCTCCTCGCGGCTGGGTGGAGACAACCTGTCGTTTAAACTCCCACCAGAACAGTATTCCGTTAAGATCAGCACGTGAAATCCACCGCGTGAGTCTTCATACCGGTCTGCAGCTATAATTTTACAATAAAATCGTGCTTCACACGTCGAAGCGTTTCCACTTCGGTAACTGCTTTGCCAATTGAAGTCGAATTAGAACATCACATCTTTCAACGCATGAAAGACAGTTTCACTCTCAAGTAAGTCTCTTGCCTTGAAGATCACGCCAAAGGCTCCGCTACCAAGCTTATTTTGTATCTCGAGTTCGGTCTCTTTTACGACGAGGACCTGACCGACAGGGAACGAGGACACAATGCACAACGTTGTACAACATCTTGTTAAATGATAAAATTACAATTATAGTTAATCTACAATATCGTAAGGGTTTCCTGTATTTGTGTTGGAAAGAAAAGGAATGGAAATATTATATTATTTTAAGTCATTTAATGTAAGTTATAAAAAGGGCAGGTTGACTACTTCGTATTCCTTCTTGGTGGTCTTATCTTAAAGGTTGAGTTTGATCACGTTCTTCTTGTGAGTTTGGCCACGTTCTCCTAGTGAGTTTAATCACGTTTTCCTCGTTGTGATCGTGAGGTTGACATGGAACTCGTGATAAGCCATGTTCTTAAATAAGTTAATTTGTTAGTCCAGGAAGAGTAAATATCCCTGGTAATAGGTCGCGTTCGACACCTTTGTGTTCCCAGAGGTAATTTAAGGGTAAACAGGTGATACCCCTTATGTTTCGCAACCAAAAGCAATTTGGGGGCGGTACTTGTGAGCGCCTTTCTTCTTTAACTCTTGTGACCGAGATGTTGTTATGTAACAATCTTTAAAGGTGATTACTGGGATTGCTTAGGAAAAAAATGGAATGGCAAAATGGAAAAATTGCGCAATAGTACCCAGAGGTCATTGGGCCCTCAACACCATGACAACTAACTGTGATCCAATGAGGTGTTCACATGCTGATCACGCGTGTTATCTTGATGATGATTGACGATTTCATGCACAGACAGGGCCGGGTCACATGACGAATCACGAGATTTTGCTTATAAAACTCTTTGGTCAGTTGTTTTGTATTTCAACGTATTTGGATTGCGATCTCCTGGAGCATTATGGCGCAAACGCGCAAAATACTTACAGACGCATATACAAGTCGTATTAATCGCGGCTAATCCACACTGAAAGATGTTATTGAGCGGTAATTTTGGAACAGATTGAGTCGCGAACGCTTGAAAGCCATGAAAGCCTTGAATGCCTTGTATGCTAATTATACCAATGTCTTAGTTGAAAAACGTTCACTTGTCGTAAAAAGCAAAATCTGAAATCTGAAACCAAACTGCATATACTTTATGCAATCTATTGAACAACACTACTACCGTGAGACTGAAGAACATAACTATAATGGATGTAAACTGCATGTGAAGAAAGACGACATGTTGGATTCACTTGATGGCAAGGAACGAAGCTACGATAACAGTACGAATGGTATTAATTTCACGATCAGAAAGGTGAATCTTATGTTTGTTTTCATTGTAGTTGTATGGATATTCTTTTTTAATAAATACGCGATCCAAAACCCTGTGTTTTTTTGTGTATAATGTTATTATGTTAAATATTGTTTACGCAATTGTCTTGTCACAGGCGGCCCAAGCTCACGTCTCGAGAAAAAGCCAACGACTAATTCATGAACGCGTCACGCGTTTTGTGACTCGGTGCTAAGTTACAAGAGGAACTGCACGTTATAAGAAATAGTATAGGGAACGAAGTATGGTCGATTTACAACGATATATATTTCGAAATATGAACATTTTTCTCGTAAAATCAATAAAACTTACTCATACCCTGTGTATCCGTTGTATTTTCTGGCGATTTCTGCCGTTTTAAGCTTGCTTTACCATCACTGTTATTCACGTCATCTACTTTTATTGCGTAGGTAAAATCTGTACAGACATCACATCAAGGCTTGAGATAATATTGCGATCGATTTTCATCAAGAATTAGGCCAGGAATATTCCACAATAGTGCAAATAATCGTGAAGGGGGATCGCAGAAAAGCGATTGCGTGACGCTCGGTAAGCTGTAAGATGACATGTTATTATATACCAGACGTAAAAACTTCAGATTCTTAGTCTGCATTTTGTACCCACTCTGCAGTCTGCAGTCTATATTTTGTATCCGGTCTGCAGTCTGCTGTCTGCATTTTGTACTAACAGGTATCCGTGGCACCAATACAGTTTATTTTTGGTTATATTTATTCGCAAAACACACATAATCTACCATAAAATACCTGTGAATGAGATAATTCGACACTTTCGTTCTTTCCCACATTAATATTCTTCTCTCCTTTTGTAAGAATGTAGACATCGCTCACAATGTTTCAAGTAATCCACCCACCTTACAAAAAAGTAACTCTTGCATGCATAGCATGCCTATGTTTTGAAATAGGTGTATGCCCCTGGCCAGACTTGAGCGCACTATTTTAGTATACTAGTCCGACACCCGTAGTATCACTACACTTGATTCCAAGGGTCCAGTACCATCCAGGTATCCCAGTTACCCTGCTTACAGGGTCTAGTTTTCTCTTAAGATACACTTTCAGGTATAAATAATACTCTGAACCAAGGTTGTTTGTAATTTTTATATTGTCGATCTCGTTTCTGTTCTGGCCGATCTCAACCGTAAAGATATGAAAATTAAGGTAGAAATTGACTTTGTAACTGCGTAAACAACCCTAAAGTGCATACTCAGTATGTGGGAACTATAATACGTAGTCAAGCGTGATTCGCTAGTTGAGATGGTACGATGACGACACAAGAAGATTGACGGCTTAGAAATGTCATCCGCAGTGTCACCTTTATAAGCAGAGACTCTAGTTTTCCCTGATATATTGAAGCTAGTCACCGTTATATCAACTTGAGAAGAAAAGAGATTAAAGAAGAATCAACCAAACCAACAACGAGTGTTAGAGAATTTACTTCTAACAATCTGTCTATACAATACACCATTCAAGATAAACTCTGTTTCTCAATGGGGCTATGTAGTTCTTCCACCCGGTCGCTTCCACTCCACATAACAAAACAATTTATCCATATACCGCCTCGATTATGCACGATGACTGTTTGATCAAACTTCCCAGAAAATTTTTTATTGTCTGAACCCTTTCTAAATTATCAAATTCTTCTTCTTCAATCGCGTTTCCTAGAAATACGTCAGGGAACTATCGTCAACCTGCATCGCATGACTTGACTTGACTTCCCCCTAACACACAATTAAGAGTATACCCTATAGGTACAATTGCAGGGCAATATCACAGGATATTACCTAATTGAACCACCCCATAGTTGTAGAGATGCAACACCACGCGGTTACAACTCATTTTTACAGTAGACAGGAACTATGGCAATGATGCAGCAAGGAATGATACTTCAGTGTGGAAACACACGGTTAAGAATCCAAGACACGCTTGGCAGTGGAGCGTTTGGTGTCGTCTACAAAGTACAAGACGTGGCAACTTCCAACTTCTACGCGTTGAAATCTGTTCTTTGTTGCAATACTTCTTCTCTTCAAAACGTGATCCACGAGGCCGAGATGCTGAAACAAATCTCTCACCCAAATATAATCGCCATACTGGGGACAGGGCGACTCAACGGTAATCAAGATTGCACAGGCATATTGCTTTTGACTGAGTACTGTCCGGGAGGAAACCTCAATCAATGGCTCCCTCGACAGAGCACCAACCAAACAAATTTGAAGTGGATGAGACAAATTGCCGATGCCGTCTCCCACCTCCATTCGCGTAACGTGGTTCACCGCGATTTGAAGCCAGATAATGTGCTCTTGACTGCGACTGAGGATGTCAAATTGGGGGATTTTGGTTTGGCACGCCAGTACATCGCACTTACCCGAACCCAAGTTCAAAACAACTACGCGCCATATTACATGCAATCAGAGGTTGGGACAAAGTACTACATGGCTCCGGAAGTATTCAGCAGTCGCGGTTATAGCGCAAAGGCTGACGTCTTTAGCCTTGGAGTGCTCCTTTATGCAATCCTCGAGCGTGATCATGTCATAATTGGTGGGAAAGCATACTACGGAGCCTTTGTTGCTATTCCAAATTTACCGGGAAGAATTGGCCTTGGATTTGCTATGGAGACTATAAACCCTTGCTTCAACATTGTGTTTTCTAGTTCCTCTAACTATTTCGGCTCTCTCCAAATGTTAATTCGCCAGGCCTTGAATTACGATCCGCATAATCGACCGACTGCTCAACAGGTTTATCAAAGTCTCGTGGCCATTGGCCAGCAACGTTTCAACGAGAACTGTAACACTTTGTAAACCAAGAAAAGGAACGAATATGCTGAAATGGAGTCAAGTTACTTTGAACTTAGCAATAAGACTGTTTATTGAAGACTCTTTCGAAGCGAAATGAAACTTGAAATAACAAGAATTATTAAAAACAGTGACTATCAAAGGATGTTAAAACTCTTCTGTGACATTATCACGTTTAATTCAACATGTTGACCTAAGCAGTTGACGTAGTAGCCACTGATGAGCTATACTGAAAAGCATAATACATGTTTTTCTTGAGCAAAAGGAGCTGTTATAGTGGCGGCGAAATCTCTCATCGTTTGAAATGGTACTATGATGTATCTTCTTCTCTCTTCGCTAGGGTGACCAGCTAAGGCTTACATGAAATACGAACAGTTTACGTACATCACTTAATGCTAATCTAAGAAATGATCTCAACGCAGAATTGCTTACTAAAACTGTGGTTATCAAAAATATACTTTTCTGAGTTTCTACGCTGTTCCCTTAACAGATATATATGCAGCATAAATACTGATCGTGTCTCACCATGTTTGCTTTCATTTCCATTTGCCTGAGGCAAATCCTGAAGTGGTAATCACTTCCTTTGATATGGATTCAATTCTTGGAAAACGCTATATGTATTCGTTTCGTAAGTTCTTGCATGGGCAACTCATTTTCAAGAGATAAATCTCAAAACACATATATTTAAATGAAGGTTAATCCAATGGACACACCTCAGTAACTCGTGAATCACAGCTCTCAAGCTGAAGTATTCACGTTCACAAACAAGGAGGTTATTCCTAGAAATTGAACTTTAACTATGGTGTAATTTGATAATTCGTCCCTTAATAAAGTCCAATCCTATGCATAAATTTCTTTCGGTGTCTTAGTGTAGAGAGACACTGTTTCACAACGGATGGCCCATGCAATTGTGTCAGCCAACCGTAAAGAGTTTCAATACCACGCAATTCAAAATGAAGAAATTTTTGTGGAGCCATTATAGAATTCCAGAACAGAATACTTCACAAAGACCTGCTAAAACTTAGAATGAGTACAAGAGTCATGTCTGTGATCTTTCAGCCTTACTGGATCGAGTAATTGGGAAAGAGCTCAAACTAAAGTTGGGGTAACCCAAAATGGAAGTAAGTTTAAACACGCAAGCTCTAACTTCAGTTCAACTGAGTCACAGTTAGATCAGACTGAGCTAGCAAAGTGGAAATTCTCTCAACATGACCTTGCCTTTGTTGCTTGTCTGAAATACAGCTTTCAAGAAAACAGGTAGATATTAACAATTTAGCAAAAAATAATTACTCCACAGTGCAAATGACCAAAATAACAAATTACATTGCAGTCACTGCAGCGTAAAAGCGCTGGAAGAAAGACGATAGTATGTAGAAAAAAAAGTCGAGTAAAGAAAGATAAGACAATGCTAATGCTAGAGATATGGTAGCTCCGTCTGGTTAGAAATGGAGGAATAATTATGGATTTTATCAGAGTAAGATAAAGTCTTTTCAATCATTAGTCTCGGAAATATCATCAGATATGATCGATGATGTGGGGAAATTGTGAATGAAAACAAGTACTAGTTTTGGCTTCCAGTTGTAAGATGAATAGTTAAATAAATCAATTATTACCCAGTAAAAATCACTATCATTTATCATTTCAACTGCACAAAAAATCGTATACACTCTTGGCAGCCTTATTCTCCAACCTATTAAATTACAAGAGTTGTGTGACAACTTGACGGTCTGGAAAGACTATTACACATGCCAAACAACAAAGAACCAGTAAGGCTGATGTTTAACAGTGAGGATAAAAAACAAAATATTTCCAAAAGCCTTTTCTTTTCAGGAATAAGACTTAGTGAAGTCAGATTAAACTAATGTGAAGAGGTTTGTTGATCTCTTAATGAAAATGGATGATTTACATCTATCAGATTTTAGAGAAATGAGACTTAAGTCAAAAGGGGACTTTGACATCACATATTCTGCAGTAATGGGCGTTGGCTTGGATGCCTATTTGCAGAAATTAATAGTTTTCAAGCCAGGGGTTTGGCTGTGCTAATTTTAAGGCAGAAAAATCATAAATCAGTTGCTTAAGAAATTTTATAGCTCTGACTGGAAGCTCAAACACTCTTAAGGGACAGGAAAATATTTCACCTGATCACTCCTATTCTTTTCCCATGAAATTTGGACAAAACTTTCCAAAAACTTTATTGTAATTTTATAGTTGCAAAAAAGGTATAGACACAAGTTGCATATAGCATAAGCTAGTTGAGGCAAGTTGTGTGGAGAGAACAAAAGATTGATAATTTATACCAGTAGTAAGCTTCTGGTACTAATGACATTCTCTTGAATGTCAGCTTGCCACAGCAAATGTCACACCTATCCTTTCTGTCAATAGTACCAACCATATGTAGTGGGGTCACTTCACATCTCCCTAAACAGCAGAGAACATAATAGTTAATTCCAATCATCAGTCTCAATTAAGGAATAAAAATTGAAGGATCAAGACTTATCTGGCAAAGTGAAATACAAGTCAAACTGGTTTGAAGACATTTTAACCCGAAATTCGGTTTTAAATATGACAGAAATACTGTGGTTCACATTCTAAAGAAACAAGGGGTTCCAGCCCCTTGAGTAATTATTCATTTGTTGTATCGCTCATCTCATGTTTTAAGAACCAGAGAAAGTTAGATAATTTTAATCTGCGAGTTTTATAGTACACTTCGACTCAAAATTCATTTCGTAAGGCAGAAGTATTCTACTGAAATAAACAAGATAGAATGAAGATGACGCCACCCGTTTCGAATAACACATGAACATGAAGAAAACGGCACCAGTTTAAACTCATGAGACAAAGCCCACGCATTTTTTTGAGGTAAATGAACTGGTTAGACCGAAAGCTAAATAAATAAACAATGAACTGACAGTGGTGAGGGATTTGGGGGCCATGTGATAAAACAAGTTCTACCGAAGTTTATCCTCTAGTTAGCCCTTCAAGCCCAAAAGGGCCATCAGAAAAATTCTCACCAAACCACAGCAACAAAATTAGATAAAACCGCTGATGATCGAGGCAAGACTTTAAACGTTGTTAAGACACATGCCTACGTACCAAGTACAACAGACTTGGAGAGCAAAATGGCCAAAGACAGTTGTGAGCCACGACTTGGAAAATCCACCTCAACCTCCCAAAAACGAATTCGCCGAAGGCTGTAGAAAGAGCAACTCAATCCTGAAGCTGGAACATTTTTTTAAGCCTTGTGTCCAGAAGATGTTATTTGAAGTGATTTGAAGCATGGGGGCCACCTCGAACTTAACGTAATTTTATTTCAAAGTTGAAGTAAAATAAGATCAAATTGTAAACTACCTTCTATTATCGTAACGAATATCTCACGATCGCCTCCACACATCACTTTGTGATTCATAGAAGTAAGACATCAACATCTTAAGACTAACCTTTAAGGTTTGTAGTCTCATGTGCACATCTTGATCGTCAGCAAATCAAATCTCAAACTTCAAGTTTTCGACCTTTTTTCGCGTTTTGTTCGCACTTTGATCATTAAAATATCCTCATCCGAAGAGCCAGAAAACTCCACAAGTTCTTAGGCGCCAAAAGGAAGTCATAGTCCCAGGCGTTCCTTGCGTAAACCGTGGAAACTGGGGATGAGAGAGCAGCAACTTGGGTTAGTATGTATTCGCTCTTCGTACACAACATAAATTTACAGAATGCTGTGTTTTATGAAGTCCGCTTTGCAAAGATTCCTGTCTTATACGCTCATCTCAGATATAAATGCACACGATTTCGTGGTAGGCCCACACTAAATAATGTCGAGCGTTTCGGAATGGGCCGGTCCACGAACTCTTTAGCTGAAAAGCCAGGCAAATGCGCAAAGTTCATCATGACTAGTTCTCACGAGATAACAAATGACCCATATGCGAGTTCAAACCTCGAAATACTAGCAAAACTGTGACAGCCAATTTAACAACAAACCATGATGCGGAGACGAACACCTCACTTGCTGAGAAAATCAAGAATGTTCGTGAACACAACTTCGAAGGTGGCGCTAACGACAGCGAATTGGATAAGGATACTGACAGAATTAAGCAACTTGAATGGTAAGGTTGAATGTCTGAGCTTAGCTCTTCCGTTAAATATCTTGTTTCTGTTATTGGTTTTTATAGGGTTCAATACTTGTAAAGTACGATTTGGTATTTCTTACACAATCACTATTATTGTACAAGCGATCGTGAATACTCTTGGTGACTGTGACCTACAAGAAAAAGTTGTCAATATGACTAATGTACATGAACATAATGATGTTACAGTGTCATTAAAAGTACAACAATTCAGATCTCGTTGTGCAAAGTCTGTATATTATAATCGTACTCGTGTTTTGTGTGAATGCCGTGGCTATAAACGTGATCGTGAACCAAGCAGAGTACTAGTGAGGATGTTAAAACGTCTCTCTCAGAAAATGAGAAAACTGCTAAGTTATGTACGGAGCCGTTTAGGTAAAAACGTACCAAAGTCATCGAAAGTCCATGATCTTATTAAAAATAATGCAACATGAAAAAAAAAAAAACAAGAATCAGGTTTGTACAAAAAATGAGAAGGAAACCAATTTTTAGAACAAGAAACGTTTACTCTTCAATGAGATATGTCTACAATTCAAGTAGAGATAAACATGGAAAGAAATATCTCAAATACTTAAGGTTCCTTTTGTGTAATTTTCCATATAGTGACGACAAGGGTGTAATTCACAGAGGAAATTGTACAAAGAACAAGCACGCTGACGTATGAACCAATTGTTAAGTGAAAGTTACCTTGGTAATGTCCATGGTGAGCCTACCATTGAGGGATATCAATACTGTATGGGCCTGAAAAGAGCCTTTGAGTCATTGATATTAGAATGATATAGGTCATATATTTTAGTGGTTGGATGCATTGCTGTGGGTATTAGTTACTGTGCTGATAATGGCCATTTTAAAGTGTTTGACTCATGCTAAAGATGTTTATGGTAAAAGGCCATACAGATTGATGAGTGGGATAACATCATGATTATTAAAAATTAAAAAAAATAAGCAAATTTCTGGCTGAAACAAATTTTGGCAGTTGCATTAATGTTTATGTACTGATGCCTTCAATGTTAATTATTTTTCAAATAAAGCAAGTTACCTTAAGTATCAAACTTAAACAAAGTATTCTTTTGTTAGAGAGGCCTGTGGTTCTGGACAGAGGTTTTCTGCAAGTATTTACTCTTTGTGGATAATCTAGTAGAGGAAATTAATAATATTTTTCAAATAAACAGGAATGTTAGACTATGGAATATGATATACAACTTATCTGCTGTTCATGTAAAATTACTGAAATTGAAAGGAAACACATCATGAGAAAACAGAGGAAAAAAACATGTGTATGACAGCATAGAGCCTGTTGCCAAAGAAAGGTTTCTAGAAGACATTTAAAGAAAATATTTAGCTATGGACGCTAGAAAGAAGAAAGGATTACTTTCTCAACTCAATGAGAAATTAGTGAAAGCCAGATCAGTTGAATTGTGTATTAACCAGTTTAAGACGAAAATAAGAGAAGGCCCTCATTTTATATGTACAGCCTTTCTGTACTGTCTGTAATCGATTACTTTATAAGAAATCAGTAATTACATGCCTAGACAAGAAGTATCCTTGCCAAACATATTTCAATATTCAACCGTCATTTTATGGGAAACAGTATATATGCAACACATGTCATTCAAAGGTCATAAAAGGAAATTTACCGTGTCAGGCTGTAGTGAATGGGAATATGTATGTGGATGAAATACCCACAGAACTATCCTCATTAGAAAAACTAGGACAAATACGAATAGCTCAACAAATAGTATTTGAGAAGACTGTGGTCATGCACAAAGGACAACAGAGAAAAATTAAGGGTGCAATATGCAATGTACCTGTAGAATGTGATCGGACATGTAATCAACTCCCTCATCCACCTGATAGATCTTGTATAATAATACTTATTTACCTTAAAAGAAAGTTACAATCTAGAGGACATGTTTATTTTCAAGCATCACGACCAGAGTTAATACAGCAAGTTCTTAACTGGCTCAAAGTACATAATCATTGTACAAAGATATACTAGTTGATATTAACAATATTGATAGCAACCTCACAACTTTATAAAATGATGCAGACGATAATGATACACATCAACAAGCTACATCAAACAATGTAACAACAGATAGTGGTCCTGCATTGGAGTATGATCGATGCAAGAGTAAATGATAAATTAAATAGTAACGAAGAAGAAAATGATGACCCCTTAAATGAATATAGAGCCCCAGTATGCGAGACATGCTTAGATTCAATTATACCAAACTATCCAGCGGTGAATGCTCAAGTAAAACGCTCGATACGAGGCCCAAGTGAACGCTACTCGATCGTCTAGTTTTCGATATGAATTCTCGGAAAACATTGCATTTTAAGACTGGGGGGGTGGGTCTTCCGTTTACAACGAATTAATCCCTACCAAGGCAACTAAAACATATCCAAGCTTTGAATAACGATACTGTAAGACTTCCTCTATTGAATATCCACCAGGTAAATTCATGCACGATCAAAATATTGCCTTCATACCGAGTACCATTGAAATAACACCACCCCTGTAAGTTCCCTTGTGTCGAATCGATTGGCGACTTTGTTTTTTCCGAGAAATCAGAACCAACTGTTTCGCAGCGGCTGAACGCGGCGTTGTTTTCGTCAAATTGACATTTCGGATAAAAACAAAGAGAACAGTTGTGGCCTAAAAAACCCGAAATGCAACAAGCCTGGATTGATCTTCCCCCAAGACTGCGTGTGGGCGACAAAACAGTGAGAGTTGAACAGCACCTTGGTAGTGGTGCATTTGGAGATGTCTACAAAGTAAGAGACGAGGCGCGCTCTAAAGTCTATGCCTTAAAAGATGTTCTTTGCCTAAACGCTTCACAAGTTCTTGATGCAATCCGTGAGGCAGTAACACTGTGCCAAATCTCTCACGAAAACATCATCGCCATAAAGGGAGCGGATCGGTTCGTCGACAATCAGAGCAACTTGCACATGTTCATTTTGACAGAGTATTGCGCGGGAGGAAACTTAAACGAACGCCTCGCTCGACCAAGCTCTGAACGAATCAACTGGAAGTGGATGAGTCAAGCTGCTGATGCCGTAGCTTACCTTCACTTAAACGGCGTGGTTCACCGCGACCTAAAACCGGAAAACGTACTTTTGAACAGACGTGGAAATGTTAAACTAGCCGACTTTGGCCTGGCTCGTGAGTACATCGCGCTTAGACGAGTTGACGCGCGAAGAAACGATGGCTCGTGGATGCAAATGTTCGTACAATACTACATGGACTCCGAAGTTGGCACGCCGTACTGGTTAGCTCCTGAATGTTTCACAGGTCACTACACAGAAAAAGCCGATGTCTTTTCCCTTGGCCTGCTGTTTTTTGCCATCCTAGAACGAGATTACAAAGAAAGCAACGGAAAAATGTATTACGGTGCATTTAAACGTATTCGCGGTGTTGGAAAAGTTGGCCTTGGGGCTGCAATGGCAATGTACAATCCAGAAACTGACATAGCATTTTCCAGACGTGCACAGGGTTCCAGGGATGTACAGAGGTTAGTCATCGAGGCTTTACAGTACGATCCTGATGATCGACCGAGCGCTGTCGAGCTATGTAATAAGTTAGAAGAGACTGAAGACTTGGATCTGGAATGGCTCTTTAGGTTCTTAAGTGAAGATTCCACATAAGAATCACCATGACCTTATCGTTAGACCGTCAGCAAACAACACTTTACTTTCTTAAAACGGTAACCATGCTCAATTTATTTTCTGTTCAGACCCTTGTGGTCTGCAAGCTCACAATATTTTCACTTCCAAAATCCAAGAGGTTGCATGTTGTAAACTTCGAGCTTGGACAGCACACATTCCGTAAGGGGGCCACATGTCAAAAAAAAACCTTGTTGAGCAAAAAGCCACTAAATAACTTTAGAAATTCGTCCTCATATGATTTATAGATCACAAAATTCGTCGATGAAAACTTGCAAAACAACATATTCTAGCATTGTGTGAAAATTAATGTACACTATAACTGAATTAGAGGAAGGGAAGTGTAAACGAGTCTTTCTTTTGTGCAGTGACCGTTTTCAAACAGATTAAAGTAATCTATTGGTAACAAGATAAGATCTTTTTGTGGATTGCTCAAGCAACATTTTTTTTGTATAGGTAATCACATGATTTCGAGTGCAATTTGGAATAAGCACGAGTAAATTTTTTTAAAGACCAACAAAATTGTACGAGCCCTACGGGCTCGTGCAATTTGTGGTCTTTGAAAAAATTAACAAGTGCTTGTTTATTCCAAATTGCACGAGAAAAATCATGTGATTACGTGTTAATAATATACATGGAAAAATTCGAGATCGCTTATCAAAATTAAGTATAGGCAAAGCGCGCGCATCGAGTGCAAAAATAATTTATTCAAACGATCAAAACAATAATATGCAATGATATCTTCACATCTTTAAGGCGCAAAAAAGTTCAAAGACCGGCTAAACAGTTCAAGGAATTGTTCAGTTTGTGTCCGAATCACTTTCGATGAAATAGAATCGTCGTTTCCGAGGTTTAACCATGTTTGTTTTTAATTTCGGCGTTGGATCGCTCGAGCAAAGTGTTAAGCTGGGTCTGCTCGTAATTTTCGATTTCCTTGGCAATTCCCTTCTCTAAACACCACTTTTTCCAAACCGACAACCAAAAACAGTGCTTTTTACAGTGTTTTCGTTGTTTGAGCTGGTTTTCAGCTGCGGTGGCGAAAGAAAACCTACTTAAAACGCCGGCCATTGTTTTGCTCGCAAATTTTCAAATTTTCAAATTTTGTTGCGACATCCAAGGCTCGCATTTGATTGGCTATCTGTGAGTTTCTTTGATTATTGACCAATCACAATGTCTGATTTGTTACTTTCTTTGCAATTAACTCTCTTCTCCACTGAATTACCTGAAAACTACATCTATCTTAACCGACTAGAACTGAATAATTTTTCCATGTATATTATTACCGGTGAAATTCGTGCACGAATTTTCCCCTAAGGAAAGGGTGAACGGGGATAGTAGATGAACTTTTCCTTCTCGTCTGCTAGCTTTGCATTAACTTTTTTAAAACAATTTTCCATCGCTGGAGTTCAAGTTCTCTAAAATTTTTCCAATTTTTTTTTTTTATCACAACTTAACAATAGACATCGAGTCGATTGAGCCTTGATCTTATGTAAGTCAAACCAATACTTTAAACAAATGCATTTCGATACAAAGGGCCTTAGCCTCTTCACCGGTTAAACTCTTTTCCTGGAAACGATATGTCGATGATGTTATTTCTGCGGTATCCGGAAATGAAGCGGAACGCCTCCTATCGCACTTGAATTCAGTGGAGCCGTCTATCCAATTCACACTCGAACGTGAAATGGATAGACATTTTCCCTTTCCTAATTTAAGTTTGTACAGAGGGGAACAGGGAAATTTAGAGACAAGTATCTATCTAGACAGGAGTGTCGAAACGTAGGGGGGATTATTCTTGTAGTAAGTCACTTTTGATGTTGATCGCGACGTTCCGACTGCAATACTGCTAGGAGGGTCTGGATTGGGGGGGTACAAATGTCAGTTTTCAGTTAAAATTTTGGCCATTTATCAGTTCTCAGTTAGATTTTAAGCCATTTGTCAGTTGTCAATTAAATGAGTTTTAACAATTAACTTGGCGAGTTAATTATTACTTTCAGAACCTATATTTGGTTAAAAAGGCACATGTAGCGTAAACTCGAAAATTAAGTCGAGAATTAATACAATAAGAACTCCTTTTTTTTTCAATTCTGGAATGAAGTAATTCCAAGATCTTCCAATTGTTTTTTAGTCTTTGTTTGAAGGGTGTTTAAATAAGTTACAACTCTTCAGCACACAAACATCTGTTTTCCTGCGCGCAACATCGAAACATTCCTTTTCAACCACTTAGCCGGTCAAAATGTTGGAAAGAAGATCGTCAAAAACACAACAAACTTGTGAAGAGTCCTCTGGCACAATATATTGGTTTTATCTTTTGTTTTGTAATGCGTCTATTGCGATTGGCTCCTATGAAATGATCGGAAAGGAATGTTCTCTTGTTTACTTTTCAATTAGGTTATTAGAGATATTTACTGTAGGCTTACCATAGAAATCCAAGCGAAAATGGGCGCGAATTGGCCGCCCGGATTTAGAAACCGTAATTGGGATAAAGTCTTCATCCTCTCGGTCAGAAGAATCGTTTTGTGAGTCTGTGTCATATTCGTCTGCACATGTTCGCACCTTAGCAACTGCTACTTCAACAAAGCAGTCGTCAACAAATGTGACATCTGTCACATTCCCACCTTCTGAAGTAGCTTGAACGGCTCCTTTGTCGCTACTGAGCCCTGCTGGTTGATCTCCATGGTTAAAATCGTTCCCTAATTCCGCCAACAAGTCAACTTTGGTGTAATCTTAAGCTTATTACTTCGTGTAGACGGCCGGTGGGAAAGCCCTTGCCTTGTCCGTTGTAGTTTCCTCCCGAACTGTCCTTTGCCTCAACGGACGATACTTCTCCACAGATTCTTTCATAGCATCTTTGAGTCGCGGGTTGATCTCTTCTGAAGGTAGAGGTCGCATTAAGTTGACATTTGCAGACTCCGTGCTTGTGTGAGGGACAGGATAGTAGGATTTTTCATGAGTAAACACTTGGCTGCCCATTTTTGTTCTATTTCTATTATCTAAATACTTCTAAGCAAACTAAAATGCATTGGTGTCACGCTTACTGTTGTCTCCTTCGCAGCTGTTGCTTGGTCTCGTCACACAACACCATCTATTCCTCTTTGGAGAGAGAACGCGCTTTGCGTGACGAGGCTAAGTAACGGTTGCGAAAGGGAATACGCTTACTGCCGTTCCTTTAACAGTGAGAAGATCAAAATTATTCGCCTCGAAAGTATAATTCCACGTACTTTTACCACGAAAAGCAAACTGAAACTCTGTTGTATCTCCAATATGCCCTAAACATAGATAAATTGCGATCTCGAATAAGTGAAGATACATTTGAGAGTTGCGTGGAAAATTCACTATTAGTAACATTTAGTTCCATGTGAATCTATTTCAGTGGGGTTGGACAATGCGGTTATAATACGTGATTAAATTCAGGTTGTTTACAAGGAAATGACACGTAGTGGAGCGAAGGCTAAAGTGGCAAAATGGAATTTGATCGGTGCAATAAAATTCAAGCACGTGGAAAATTGGCTAATGTTCATGTGGTGCAATGATTGGGTATGTTCTGACTGGACTTTTCATATTACGTGATGGAATGTAAGTTGTTTGGAGTGTGCGTTGTGGGTAAAGGAGCGGAAAAACATTTTTTAACTTAGAAATGATGCAAAAAGTTAAATGCGAACCTTTCATATCCCGATAAATCTCGAAGTTAGTCGACGAGGTTCTCACGAAGGCCACAAACCATTACGCTTATCAAATGGGACCAAAATTTCTGGTTACTATCATTCTTTGTGCACAGCTTCCTGATTCCATGACATCATTGGCAAGAACAAAATACCCAAACGTTGCGATTGGTGCAAGATATCCAAATGCTATGATATGATTGGTGCGAGAAACATACCCCAATGCGGCAATCTGATTGGTGCGAGATACATACCCTAATGCAATGATCTGATTGGTGCGAGCAACATACCACTCTACAAGCTAGCATAGAGTTTTTTTTTTTTTTTTAAGAAAAAAAAAAAACCTCAAATATAAATTATGGGTACTACTACTTCCTAAATGGATAGGGATAATTAAGAACAAACTAACATCAGAAATAATCGGTTTTAGCTCCTACCTTCAAGCAAACCCTGCAATGTAGCATATTTGGCCTAACCTAAAGGTGCTAATCCTGTTTACTATATTTAACAGACAAATGATCATTTACTTCACAGAACATTTACTTTGGATATGAATTCTCGGAAAAAACATTGCATTTTAAGACTAGTGGGGGGGGAGGGGGGGGTTGTTTTGTTTACAAAGGCTGATCCCTAATTAATCCCTACCAAGGCAACTAAAACATGATCAAGCTTTGAATAACGATACTGTAAGAATTCCTCTCTTGGATATACAACAGTTAAACTCGTGCACAATCAAAATATCGTCTTCATACCGAGTACCACTGAAATAACACCACCCCTGTACGTTCCCATAAGTCAAATCAATTGCCAAGTTCGTTTTTCCGAGAAATCAGACCCAACTATTTCGCAGCGGCTAAACTGGTTGTTTACATCAAATTGACTTTTAGATAAAGAGAACAGTTGTGGCCTGGAAAACACGAAATGCAACAAGCCTGTATTGTTCTTCCCCCAAGACTGCATGTAGGCGACGAAACAGTGAAAGTCGAACAGCACCTTGGTAGTGGTGCATTTGGAATGTCTACAAAGTGAAAGACGAAGCAGGCCCTGAACTCTATGCCTTAAAAGACGTCCTTTGCTTAAACGTTTCACAACGTCTTGATGCAATCCGTGAGGCAGAGACACTGCACAAAATCTCTCACGAAAACATCATCGCCATAAAGGGAGCAGGTCGGTTCGTCGACAATCAACACAACTTGCACATGTTGATTTTGACTGAGTATTGCGCGGGTGGAAACTTGAACGAACGACTTGCTCGACCAAGCTCTGAACGAATCAACTGGAAGTGGATGAGTCAAGCTGCTGATGCTGTGGCCTACCTTCACTTAAACGGCATGATTCACCGCGACCTAAAACCGAAAGACGTACTTTTGAACAGACGTGGAAATGTTAAACTATCCGACTTTGGCCTGGCTCGAGAGTATATCGCACCAAGACGAGTTGACGCGCGAAGAAACGATGGCTCGTGGATGCAAATGTTCGTATAATACTACATGGACTCCGAAGTTGGCACGCTGCACTGGTTAGCTCCTGAATGTTTCACGGGTCATTACACAGAAAAAGCCGATGTCTTTTCCCTTGGCGTGCTGTTTTTTGTCATCTTGGAACGGGATTACGTAGGAAGCAACGGAAAAGTGTATTATGGTTTATTCAAAAGTATTGGAAAAGTTTGCCTCGGGTTTGTAATGGCAAGGTACAATCCAGGAACTGACGTAGCATTTTCCAGACGCGCACAGGGCTCCAGGGATATGCAGAGGTTAGTCATTGAGGCTTTACAGGACGATCCTGATGATCGAGCGAGCGCTGACGAGCTACGGAATACGTTTGAAGAGACTAAAGACTTGGATCTGGAATGGCTCTTTAGTCTCTTTAGTGAAGATTCCACTCCAGAATGACCTTGACCTTATCATTAGACAGTCAGCAAACAACACTTTAAAAAACGGTAACCGTGCTCAATTTATTTTCTGTTCAGACCCTTGTGGTCATAATTTTTTCCACTTCCTAGGTCCAAGAGGTTGCATGTTGTTACTTGGAGCTTGGGCAGCACACATTCCGTAGGGGCTACATGTCAAAAAAAAAACCTTGGTGAACAAAATCCACTAAATAACTGAAAAAATTAATCCTCGTAGATCACAAAAGTCGTCGATGAAAACTTACGAAACAATATGTATAAACAAAATACCAGCATTGTGCAAAAAGTAATGTACACCACGACTGAATTAGAGGAAGGGAAGTGTAAACGAGTCTTTCTTTTGTGCAATTACCGTTTTCAAGCAGAGTGAAGTAATCAATATAGGTAACCAGGTGATAAGATCTTGTAGGGGAGCAATCGTCGTTTTAAACGAAAGCGTGTGGATTGCTCAAGCAACATTTTTTCCAGTGAAATTCGTGCAGGAATTTTTCCCTTAAGAAAAGGGTGAACATGGTTAACAAATGAGCTTTTCCCTCTCATCTACTACCTTTGCATTAACTTTTTTAAAACTATTTTCCATCGCTTAAGTTCGAGTTCTCTAATATTTTCCTTACTACTCCCGAACCTTTTCCACGGTTCACCCTAACCTGTTTGCGGTAGATTTTAAAGGAAATGAAGAACGTTCTCATAAATTCACGTAATTTGTTACTGTAGAGGTAGCATTACTTTACTGATGTGATAACTAAGGCAGCTAAATTTAAGTTAAGGTTACGAAGGTAAACGGAAATGTTCTTTTCAGTCATATGCAGCTTCCATGTATACAAAGTTTGGTAATAAATGGTCTTCACATTTCGTTTTAGACTATACTGACCTTTTTAGATAGAATTATGTTTAGGTGATAATTTTGCTAGTCTTTCCTAGAACTCTTTACGGATTCATTCTCATAAATGACACAGTCCTTTGTGAGAAACTCGAAAAGGTTTGCAGCACAGACTCAACAATGAATATAACGAAGCCAGGGATACAAACGTCGACTTCAGTTTTGATAATTATTTTTTAATACAATTTAACAATAGACATCGAGTCGATTGAGTCACGATCTTATGGGAGTTACACCAATACTTTAAACTAATGCATTTGGATTCTATCTACTTAACAATTTTCAGAACTCATCTGGGACCATTCTGAAAAATACATCATAATAACAGGAAAAACAACTCAAAAAACATAACACAGAGAGCCCAAGTATTCCTGAGGTTTTCTCTGCGAAGTACTGGTATCCAGTCCGGCATGCCTTGAGTTATTACTTCATACTAATGAAACCAGGAGCCTACCAGGGTAAGTTCCGTACGTAAAAAATAAATGCTTTTATTTCTAGCACAATAGCTGTACATTCGTAGAACAAAATGGCGCTTTTTCCGGAGTGGAAATCAGAAGGGCAATCAGTAAAGTTGAATTTTTCCTTAAAATAATTTTAAAATTTAAGTAATAGCGATAAGAAGTAACCAATAATATATATAAAAAAGTAAGTATAATATATACAAAAAATAAAAATTAAAAAAAAAAGTGATAATGATAAAAATAATTATTTAAATTTAAATGCCGTGAATTCCACTTAAGCATGATCAAATTCGCTTTGCAGGAATAAAAAAACTGATGTTGCTCATTAGGACTGTTGAAAGTATTTCCATGGTTGCTTCTGTTATTTATGCATTCCAATATCTTATATTTACTTCTTTATCCTCCAAAGGAGAGAGCAAGTCTTTATCTACATCCTTTACAGTGTTAATGGTCAAGTGTAGAATCCTTAAACCTCGTAAGTTCCTCTCAGTCTTTTGATATTACACCAATACTGTAGTCTTCTTCTTAGATAAAATTTAAAACCAGTGTTCACATCCAATCAATGTACCAACGCACAGTTTTGTACCACATGTCTATACTGAATCATTGAAGAAATTATAAGCTTTCAGTTTATTCGATAAATTGTCTATCCAATCATACCCACACAGCAATTTCAGCCTCTTTGATCAAATTAATTAAACAGTCCTAACTAATCAAGCACTTGTTCCTCATTCTCGGCCTACGCACTTTCCTTCCTTTTGAACGCTTGTCGTGGATATGCTCCTCATCAGACCATTGCAGACGGATATTTGTGGCGATTTCCTCAATTCTGTAGTAAATTTCTTCGGCTCTGGGTCTTTCCTGCGGGACATAATTCAGAGTATCTATTATCAAACCTCGGAATCCATTCTCCTCGCTCAGCTTGTGATCATGAACGAACTCGGTCATGGCCGCTGGACCGAGTATTGCCATCGCATACCCGAGGCCAAGTTTTACTCCACCAGAAACCTTCACGAATGCGCCGTACCATCGCCTCTCGTTAGCCGAGTAAGCGAAGTCTCGAACAAGGATTGCGTTGAATAGAACACCGAGGGAGAAGATGTCTGCTTTCTCCGTATAGTGACATGTGAAAACCTCAGGAGCCATCCAATGAGCAGGGCCGGTACCTGACTGCATGTAATATTGCGCCAACCCACAGTTTGAAGCCGACAGTGTTTCTACTCTTTTCAACGCAAGAAACTCTCTCGCTAAACCAAAATCACCAAGTTTTAAGTCCTCTCTTGTTGAGTCCGTGAGCATTACGTTGTCTGGTTTAACATCACGATGAACGATCTGAAGCGAGTGCAAATAGCTCAGCGCACTCGCTATTTGGCTAAGCCATTTAAGAGTTTTCTCCTCGCTGCTTGGTTGCGACAGCCTGTCGTTTAAATTCCCACCAGAACAGTATTCCGTTAAGATCAGCACGTGAAATCCACCGCGTGAGTCTTCATACTGGTCGGCAGCTATAATTTTTACAATAAAATCGTGCTTCACACGACGAAGCGTTTCCACTTCGCTGATTGCTTTGCCAATTGAAGCCGAATTCGAACACACTACATCTTTCAATGCATAAAAGACAGTTTCACTCGCAAGTAAGTCTCTTGCCTTGAAGACCACGCCAAAAGCTCCGCTACCAAGCTTATTTTGTATCTCGAGTTCGATCCCCTCTACGACAAGAACCTGACCGACAGGGAACGAGGACACAATGCGAGAAGACATAGTTTTGTTTCAGGCACTTGACTGCGAGCGAAATGTATAAAACCATTGAAAAATTCAATATCGCTTAAGAAGTTTATTATTAGTTAATCCAATATAACAGGCCTGTTTATTTCGAACACAAAAGAGATATTTAACTTCGCTGTTGAAAAGCAGAAGTAATATCACCGGTGTTTAAGAAAAATCAAGAAAAAGGTGTTACGAACCACAAACAAAGCACATGGAAAGTTACCTTACCAAAAATACACTCAGGAAACTTTCATTCGTTTTCTCAGTAAAACTGAATACATTTTCACAAAACTTAACTTGCATGTAACATAATTTTTAAAGGTAAATCATCACTACAAAATGATCAAGAATTTGGCAAATTCGGAAAACAATCCTAAACAAAATTACAATTTCGACCACGTTTTCGATTCTGCCCAATTCAACATCTTTATATGGCGCTCTTGAAAAATCGCTTGAATATATGCAATATTAAGAGTGAAAACCTAAAATAATAAAAGCATAATTTAAATTTTTCTGTCGTCTTTAAAGCTTTAACAAGATAGTGCGATTTACTGAAGCTTTTTCTTGTAATTTACATCACAAATAGTCTCCAAACGCTCCTCATTTCCTAACTGGTACCCAAGGCATTAGCGCGCGAATTTCAAGAAGACTGGTGCTACTCGCGCGGGAATTACAATGTGACGTCACCTTAGAAACAACAGGGCAGATTTGGGCAAGACTGAGCCGGCAAACGCATAAAATGTCTACACCACGAGGTAATTTAACGGCCGTTAAAATTACGATCTAAATCTTAATCCTGTTACATTCTTAGGGATTATCTAGGTTCGATTTGCGTCAGATATACTAAAGTTCTAATTTCTTTACGTCAGGTGGTGAAGTCCGATGTCAAACAACTCACGTGCGATCACAACTGGATCTTTCAACATTGCTATAAATTCAAATAACGTACACGCGATTTTCATCACTCACGAGATCATGTTTCGCTAGTGACCCAAGCAAACCGATTCCTTCCGTCGAAGTACGTTCAAAACAAAGAATCAACCCACGCAATTTGACAAGCCATGTGCGTTTGCGGGTGTCACATTGAAGGACCATCATTTAAATCGCCTCTGATCACTGTCTCGGATTTTCATTCCACTTCTACTTCAATATTTATTTCGTGAAATACGGATCACTTCAAGTGATTCCATCCATATGATAACTTTTGGGGACAGCCTATCAAGGAAAACAAACCTGCCGAGTTAATCATATTCTAAACAGGTTCCATGAACTCTAATTATAGACCTCACACAATCTGTAAAGCCTACAAACACGCGTAAGACGATCTTTTATTTAAAAATTTTTTGGTAATTTTCCCGCCGAATAAAACAGACTAAACCGTGACCTTTTAAGGTAAAAACTAAGTTCAAGTTTTTTACATAAATTGTTTACGAACAATCAATTCCTTTTGGTACCGGAGCGGGTTAAACGCTGACTCACGCTGTTGAAAAATCGCTTAAAATGGCTATAATTAAAAGGGGGAGACGAATGAATTAATGTTATTGTCTACGTTATGTTAGTATTTCCATTTTTTTTACTTATTCTTGGGAAATTGCTCCATTTCGTTTACGGTAATTCAAATTATACAAGGAGTCTCCTAATTCGGGAAAATGACGAAATTATTGCAACAACATTGTTGCATTAATAACAAACTAGTTTGATTTCTCTTGCACTTGAAACAAATAATTTTCACAGGTCGATGTCAGCTTTCAAAATCCCTCAGACTTTATAAAAATGCCACTCATTGCGGCCAAGAAAACAATTTACAATCTCTTGTCACGATTTAGAGCTAAATTGCGATGTTTTGTTTGGGGATGACGCGGTGAATTTTGACAACCACAAAGCACTTTAAACATGAATGAAATTCAATTTAACTCAGTGTAACGGATCGAGTTCATTTGAATAATATGATTATTGTATCACGGCTATATTTAAAACTGCCGTCCACGAACAGACAATTAGAGGGTACAGTTATGTAGAGGGTATATCCAATCATTGCTATTGACAATTAGTAAGTTGGAAAGGTAAACGCATTTCATGGTGACGTGTCAGATTTTTACGCTCTATAGATCACAAAGCAAAATCTACGCTTTTGTTTTGATTTTCACCAGATCGATCGTGCTAGTCTATGGAAGGTCTAAAAATTACTCCCTTTCATTTACGCTCGTCGTCAAAAACCTTGCAAGTATCTGGTTTTAATCACATAGAAAACAGTGACCTTGTTTCAGATTAAACACACTTTTTCAGAAGCTTGATTCGACGTAAAATAAATGTTGGATAATACAAACATCGTTATGAGCTACAAACAAAGTTCAGCTCTTGCTTTGTTTCATTCGATCCGAAATGAAGTCAAATTTACTAGCCATATTGTTGAATCGCCAGAAATAAAAAAATTCCGCATAATTTAAGAGTTTTTCGTGCATTAAACCAAAAGCCTGGTCGACTTGACGAAAACTTGTCACGGTAGCTAGTAGGGGATTCCCCGTTCGTCATTGACCCTCAACGTCGTCTTGACAACCGCCCGGACATGTCCCTCGTTACGGTCTGTGATTGGTCAGATAACGATCAACTTTTTTTTGGCAACATTACATCATCAAATAAATAAAAGCTGCGAGCAAGCATGGTGCAATCATGAACCCCTCTTACACTGGTTTTAACCGGTCGCTTGGGTGAAAGTATCTCACTTTATCTCCAGCAATCGAAGTGAAAGCACGTGTTTTGATTAAGTCTTCACTTTATACCCGCGAACAAATTTCAGTCCTCCATCTCATCTTCTATTTCGACGCTGATTCAAAGTAAATCAAGAACTGTCAGTACACAGGTGATCCTCTTGTTTCGTTCTCATCTGATTTGAAAGCCGCTCATCCCACAGAATTTTACACTCGCCAATAACAGTCTTACCAAGATGATGCCTACGAACGACAGCAACGATATCTCAAAGCTGAGTTTCACTGGCGATTCATTGTTGAGCGACCTTGATCTCTCGAATTTAGAGCAGATCCAGCCGTTCTGGTTTATTCCTGCAGAGGGAAAGGAGGAGCCCGCGCAAAGTGTTCCAGACACCACCCTGGACTTAGATGAAATGCCCGCCTGGCTGAGCGAGACTTATTCATCGCGCAGTTTTCCAGAGGACGATGTAGCCTCAGAGATATCAAATCCAAGCCCATCTCCATCTGAGTGCAGTTCAACGAGCGCAGGATACTTTTTCAGCACTGAAATGAGCACTAAAGAAGCTCTGTTTACAGAGAAAGAGCTACGAGAGCTCTCTGTCAAAGAAATCAACAATCTTTTGAGAAGCAGAGGGCTTTCGAAGGAAGAAATCGCTCGGGTAAAACAAAGGCGAAGGACATTGAAAAACCGAGGCTATGCCCAGCATTCAAGGATGCGAAGAATCGAGACCAAGAATAACTTGGAAGTCGAGCGAGACAGTCTTCAAAAAGAGCTAGAAGGCCTAAAACAACAGGTAGCTACAGCTCTCCGCGAGCGAGACTTCTTCAAGAACAAATATGTAAAGCTCCTGTCACATGTAACGAAGCTGCCAGGAAAGGTACTGAAGATCAATCCATTGGAAAAGTGAACTCAGGGACTTAGGAAAACTTGAATTCAAATACTTTGGACACGTACAAGTGTTTGCTCCGAAAGCATTGGGCCATGATCGACAACGAGTTTGACTGTTTTCACCGGACAAATTAAGTTTTCTTAGCAATATCTTAGCTTTGAACCCGTGAATTTAACATTGATGTTTGCTTGTTGTTATCTTAGAGTTTTTTTTAGCCTTCCTTGGCAATTTAGCTCGATAGTTAATGAGATGGTTTGAAACTACCAAAACGTCGAAGAACGTTTTCGAATGTTGCGTGACGTAATGAGTTATTTTTATTTATGAAGTAAGCCGCTGACATAGGCCAATCTAATGTACGGGCGGCTTGTGTACATAAATGGTTATTCTTTCTAGACCAATACAAAAGAAGGAAGGAAATCAAAATCCAAACAAAACAAAAAATACTGAAATAACATTTGAAAAAAATGTTGGAAATGTTATCTAATTAAAAAAAAAAAAAAAGATGTAACTAGTTTCATTGTATACCCTCCACAAGTTGATGTGAATTTTTGGCAATATTAAGGGAAGTATTTTTCCAGTACCTCAGCCAAAGCAACAGTTTTTGTCAAGTAGTGTATAGTGAAAAAAAAGGAAAAACATTTTTTGATATGTTATGTAAATACATTAACAAATTGGACAGGCTGCTATGACAGTCAGACTCTAGTTTTTCATTACCTGGTAGTGAAGAAACATTTTCTAAGATTCTTTGGTGTTTTGTCTAAAGCTGTGTAACATTTTATGTTGAAATAAAATCCATGTTGTAACTTATCCTTTTGACTTTATGTTATTGTTATAACTTAACCCTTCACATTCTAACATCAGAATACATATTCTCCATGCTGTTCTCTGTATATTTTTCCTAAGGTGCATGCAAGGAGAAATTATTTAAAAATCAAGAACTTCTTGATTTGGTGATCAATTTCTTAATTCTCATGACCTTAATGAGAAATTCTGGGGTGATATTGGAAGGAGAAATCAGATGCTAGTCACCCTTAGAGGCTAAAAGATTAACACCTTCAAACCTTCAAAAATCCAAATATAAATTTCCCACACATTTTGCTATTTATGTATTACCAACAATACTTGCTTTAAGAACTTCACTCCATTTCAACAGCATCTTATTATTGATATTTTTCTATCTCATTATCTTTCTCATTGAAAAAGAGGATTTATGTTGTATGAAAAAAATTCCCTTTTGATCACAACTGGAAGCAGAAGTCCTAACATTCTGATCTCGGACCCCATTTCCAATAAACTAAAAAGTTATGGAAATCATCAGCTCATTTTTGTGAGTACTGACAACCAAAGATCTCAAATTCACATCACTTTACTCTTTACCACATATTTCTTGTGTTAGTGCTGAGAATTTAGTGGTCAATCAAACACCATCTCTGAGAAAAGGATAATTCTCATAGTCTCTGCACATCTTCCAGCTGTCTGTGACAATGTATTTAAAATGCAAAGAAAATAGCCTATATCGATACTGTTATGAGTAATTGTTTTTGTAAATATAAGCTTTTGGAAATCCCCAGACTGCTTAGTCATGCTGACATGCATATCATAGAATATTTTACAACATTTCATCAAGTCACGCATTTATTATGTAATACTACTAAAATATCTCTTTTGTAAGCTTCTCAAAGGTTCCAGAACACTTTGTGAACACACATAAAGACTCACTTATGCGTAGTGGGAGTAGTTGTTGCTGACAGGAGCAACAACTGTTTTGAAAGCTATACCAAGAGAGAGTTACTGCAGAAGATTTCTCATTTCAAGAAACTTTGGAGATGGCTGTGAGATTGTGTCAATGGTGAGCTAGGATATAGACTGTGTTGGGCTTAATTAAGTTTATCAATGATAAGTATTTTACTGCTTTAAGGAGTTGCTCCTTGTTGAGAACATTACTCACTGTTTAATGAAGTAGTTGAGTTTGTGGGGATGTGGTGTTTTTATATTGGTTAGATTATACCATAACAATACTTGGATGGTATTTTGGCTACTCCTAGGAGTTAAAGGATTATTGGTTGCTATGTTTAAAAATCTTGCTTTTACAGATGTTTGATACTTTTTTGATATTTTGATCTTGTAAAAGTTGCCTTTTTGCATCAGAATCAAAGTAAACCATATTACATACTAATGAGCTTTAGGCAAATCTGTGTTATTATAGTCTCTGAATACTCTCTTTACAAGTTCTCTGTAGCTTAAAAAATAAGACTAATTAACAATCAGAATGATAAAGGGTCAAATTAAACCTCATCAGATGCTGGTTTTGCAATAAATTTATTAAAAATTCATCACAAACTACCTGTCCTTCCTTACTTTAATATTCCATCAAATTATTTTCTTTTACCTATAATTTACCACTGACAATGATGGGTAAATCAAAGGAGGGTACTTAATATTAAAAACAGGGCACTTATTAGGGACAGGGTGCTTACTTTTTTCCAGAAACAGCAGAATGTGCAAAACAGAGCTTTGATACCTCTTTGAAGAGGATTGAGAAGACTGGAAAACAGACTTGTTGCCCTGGGATCCTTCCTCACTAGAACAATCAAATTTTAAGGAGGAGATCAATCCTTTGAAGGAACTGTGCACTCACATGGACATAATAGTTGCGAGACTAAGACATGGACCACTGTTTTTATGATCATGAGTCTTACATAAAAAACCAAAGAAAGATGAACCACAGTTGACATCAATATACATGTCTTGTAGCAGTAGTCTACCTCTGAAACAGAATAGGCTCACTTATTAGGGGCGCTTAATGGAATGAGAGTGCTTACTCAATAGGCAGGCTTATTAGAATAGGGGCACTTATTCCCAAAAACCAAATTCAAGATGGGGGGGTTTATCAGATGGGGGGCTTTTATTGGAAGGAGCAGCACTAAATTGAATCATTATGGTATGTGTGACTGTTCAGTCTGAAAACTGAACAAATTATATTCTTAATCAAATGAGATCTGGCTAGGAATTTTGTATGATGATTGTACTAGCAAGGATAAATACGGCCAAACATGATGACAAGTTAATTCATCTCAGAGGCATTTCATTTCTACTTCAGATCAAATCAAACTTTCTCCTTAACTAACATCTTGATTGTTTACTGTGGGGCTTTTATAATTACAAGCTCACGCAAATTGCCTGACCCTTTGGCCCCTAAGAGTGACCAGCAACTAATTTCTCTTAACAGCATTTAACCCCTGAATCACACAATTTAATGATTAAGGTCATGAAAATAAAGGAAATGATCACCAACCAAAGAAGTCATTGATTGTTAAACAAATTCTCCTTGTTAGCACCTTAAGAAATGTATGGAGAACAGTAAGGAGAACATGCATGCTGATATTAGGGTGGAAAGGGTTATAATTGCAGACATAACAGAGATAGGAATTTTATTTTAACAAAAATTATTTACTGCAGAGTGAATTTAGTGATACCTTTGCCACAGACTATAAACTGAAGTCATACTCTAGCAAGATTTGCAAACAAAAGTCAAAAAATGATCAGATGTTTCCATGATATTCATAATGAAAATTATGCAAAATAGAAAAAAAGTAATGTCCAACCACGTGACTACACTAGCATATGTGTGCATATCTGATAAAAATGATATGTAATGAGCAATTTGCACTCCAATACAGTAAGTAACATATTAAACCTTACTCTAACTTACAATGTATACACACCTTGCCTTAGGTTGACTACTGTCAGTTCCATATCATTGCACATGAAGCCTGCACACCAAAGACATTGAAGAAATAATTTTCAAAATATATAGAGTTCATATCAAAAAATATTATGCAGATATATATATATATATATATATATATATATATATAGCAAAATCCCTGCCTGCAGGTGGGCTTATTAGCAGCCGGGATATACATCTTTAACAGTAAACTCCTAACACCTGGGAGCAGATATCCCTATCATTTTTTCAGAGGTGAAGGTAGAATCTGATGACTTATGAATCATATCCCTCAAATATGAAGGGATCATGGTGTATTAAGAGACTTTACAGTACTGAAGTTCAAAGAATTTTGTATTAAGTCAAACCACATTTCTCTGGAGAGAATGCAAGTGTATTTAATACTGTAAGCAAAATTAATCTTTAGTGGCTCCTGGGAATTAAATGGTCAAAAAACATGTCATAAGTGGTATGAGAAAATGTTAAAATTGTCACTACCCTTTACTACCCCATGGTAATGCCGCTTGTGCATTTCTCTCAAATTTAGTATTGCATGTTACTGTTTTTCATAGTGGTGTTGTTTGTTTTTCTTATCCCTCTGCTCTCTTTAGTTTCAACTTACACTTGTTTCCATCATCGTAACCTTAAAAATTCTACCTAGGTCAGGTATTCATATGAAGAAAGCATGCAAGCCCATAAACCACCAGCCTGCAATATGCCATCTCAACCATGGATAGCTGCCATGGATTGCAGACTCCAAGATAACTTTGCTCATAATACATCAAATACTTTTCCTTTGGCACATGCAATTGGTCTTAATGCATCACATGACCATTGATTCCACAACTACAACTAGAGAACAGATCCAAGGAGAAACCCTAAGTGATTTTGCCCAATTTTCAGACCCCATGTCTACTTAAATAATAGGTCAATCTTCATTAAAATTTTAATTCAAGAAGAGCGAGTGCTTTGAGGTTGTAACAGAAGAAGACTTTTTTTTTGTTTATAAAGTTGTACCTGCAGAGAACACTACAAAGTGAACGTCCCATAGAGCAAACATTAAGCAGTTTGTAAACATTTTTGCGTAACACGTATTACAAAATTTTGGAAGCTAGGACAATAAACTCAATGGCATCCATTTGATGCAACAATATGCTTGTATATTTGTCCTTAGACATTATCTGTTCCTCAAGGCTCACAGTATACCACAAGCATCCCTCTCAGAAAACCGTTCGCATCCTGGAACTGGTAATCCGCAGACAAATATCTGTGCATATTTTTGCGCCAAATGGAGGCTATTGTCGGATCCCAGTCAGCAAGGCTGCTTTTGGACACTCAGATGCTTCTATATTTATTCTCAAGGGGTACCACGATTATTTCAGAACTCTGACCCCCTCTCCACCATCCGACCCACAAAGGTGATCGATATGCCTGCAACGTCGCAATCGACGGCTATACGATCGAGGGTCTCACTCAGCAAATCAACTTTTCCATGTCAACGGATTGTGTATGTAGTCATTAAAAGACTACATTTTAGAATTTTCTCAGATTCGGTCTTTTCGAATTAGTATCTTTTAAAGTTCGCCCCGACGTCGACGTTCGAAAACTACATCACACAAGAAATGTATATACAAACATTCTTACTATTCTTCAATAACTGCTAACAGGTTGCGGGTGAAATGGGGACCGGCTAAGGTCGTCCCTAAATTTGTTGGAGATATAACTATGCAAAAAATGTAAAAAATCGAAGTGAATGAAAGGTTTATGAACTATAATCTTGGAATTGGCAGGATAATTATGTAATACAGTTAAACGGGCATCCATGCAACCGCTCCGTTTAAACTTTCACACTCCTTTCACTGTGCCAAAAACTAGCGAAAACCTCAGTTAACATACAGAAGTTTACCTTCTTCAGTCTGTAGGTTTCCATAAGAGCAGAGATTGTAGACACTGCAGCAGTACTAATTCACAGAACATGACAAAGCTCACCTATTAGTCTAGCGCAGTCAACTTTCCCCCTGCGTGATTTCGGCAATTCCTATTCACAATCAAACTATCGACCGAGAGAGGACCGGGGTAAAAGAATTATGAAAAAAAATCTGGATAAATGTGCAATGATCATTGGAAATCAGTGAGACAATACAAAACCAAATTTACCTATTTAAATAAACCAAGAGAGAAAAAGAGAGAGAGAGAGAGAGACCGCATCCCAAGTACCGTAATTGAAACTCGAATGAAACTCTTCCGGGCGAGCGCTGTAGCGTCTCATACGTTTGAAAACCTATGCTAAAGTGCGTGGTGACGCTGGCGTCTTTCCTCTTTCCTCTGGTTTCACCCCTTCACCTAACCTGTACTGAAGTGATTTGTTAATTTATTAAAAGAAGAAATGCAAAAATCTATCAGTGAAATAGCTTAGACTGCAAGAGGATCGACGGAAACCAACGCCTCGATAGATGGGTGCAAAGTGACATCAGATAAACCAACCCCTCCCCCAAAACCTGGAACAAGAGCTCTATGTTTACATTGTAGGTAGTAATTGCTTTCTGATTTCTTTTTGTGAATAGAATAAGAAATATGGTAAATTTTGAGCTCGTTAAATAAATGGAGAAAGATGTTTTTTATCTTGCCTCGAGCGTGGGACAAAGAAAAAATCAAAACTTTAAAATCAAAGTCCCTATTTCCGTAGTGAATTTGCCCACCACTAAGTCTCTGTGGCTCAGTGGTAGAGCATCGGAGCGCGGAATCTTAAGGTCTGTGGTTCGATTCTTCATGGGGACTGAGAGTTATTTCTTTATCCCACGCTCGTGTTAAGACGACAAACACCTTTCTCCAATTTCTCTTTCCCTTGTTATCACAGTCTCAAGGTGACCCTAAGCGACCTTTTAAATATGCCCGTGGTGTATACATCAAGACAAGAGTTAACAGATCTTAGTAAAAGGAAAAAAAAGTGATTATTACATGGGTAATATCAATTATTAACAACTTGCTGTAAAATGAGGTTGTAACAGCGGGAATGAGGTCAAATCAGTGCTTGTTGTATGCTGAACGCATAAAGGGTATTCCAAACACAAAAACAAATTCAAACCACATGGTTTTTTAAAAGGACGACCAATACAATCGCTTGTTTTGTTTATTGAATTTTTCTTGTGTGTCATACATGAACAGGTGTAGGACTGCGATTCCAAGCAAAATCTCTAAATTTATCATAAATCGCCTTGTTTTGAAGCAAAAAATCTCGCCTGTCCGTCAACAAAACACGGAAAAAATATTTCACTTTAACCTTAAGTGTAATTAATTTATTTTCGAGATATGGGAAACAAGCAAGCAGCTTTTACAGAAGATCAGCTCGAAGACTATCAGGTTTATAAATTCGCATGTCATTATTTCATTTTAAGCGATTCCTCGCGGAATCATCATTCCCGATCTCTTAATAACCTATTTTTGTTATTTTTATCGTTTAGGACTGTACATACTTCAATCGGGCTGATATTTTAAGGTATGTGTTTCAACTGATTTTATTTTAATTTATAAATGATTTGTACAATCGCACCTTATGGACTGTTTGCGTTAGAATTCAATGTAGGCTCATACCATCATTTGCGATTAATACTTTTCAATCTTCATTCAGTATTTTCAGTTGGTATGGTCACTTGTGATGTGGGGAAGGCAGAGCGCATTATAATTTCAAATGATCAGTGAGAAAGCCATATTTCTATCATCACATTAATTAAGAAAATTTAGCAAACATTTTCCAGTTCTCTCATTCGGCATCTTCACTGGTCTCTTCACCTAAAATTAACCATTGTTGTTCTTTTTCGGATTGTGTTTATCCTCGCAAACTCAGTTTCAGTTATAAATGAACGTGGATCACTGCAGCTCTGTTGTTGAATCGCAGCCATGTAGTTTTCAAGGCTAGTCGTATCAGGAGAGCTGACTCTCTTTCATTCGAATGTATAAAAATCACTTGAGATAGAGAAAAGTTCGGATGTATTTGTTGTTCGTGTTGTTCCTGTTGTTGTCGTGGTCGAGTGTTGTTACAATTCTCTTATAATTGTAATTCTCTTAATTTAAAAATCACGAGTTCATTCATTATCAGGATTCACCGGCGATATCGAGATTTAAATACAGACCTTATACCTGAAGATTTTACAGAACTTGATGTTCAGCCAAAACTGAAATACAAATTTCTCCAGCAACTACCAGAACTCAAGGTGAGCCAACAAGTAACAATGAATTACCCGGCGGGGGAAGGGAAGGAGGTCTCAAATTGCAAATGTTTTTCAAGCCACTAGTTCAGTTTTTATTATTATTTAATTTTTTTTTTGAGAGCCGTTATTTTTAGTACTCTAATTTAGATATGATGAATTACAAACAAAGTACACAGAACTGGTTTAAACTGCATCTGCACGTGCGCGAACGTTAGAAAATCTGAAAGGCGGCCAAAATAGAGGCCCAAAATCGTGCTTTCGGGTTGTAAAATCCAAGTTGTCTTAGCTAACCAATAAACTTTGGATAAACTTTGCGTTCAAATTTCTTGAGTATCCCTTTTTTTTGTCGAAGGTTCCTTTAAAATTTTATTTGGCGCGTGGCTGGCCAAAGTTGAATCAATTTCCCAACGTTTGACTTACTGACCAAAGTTCTCCATGTCAATCATGAATGCTCCTGAGCTAAATTTGGTATGTTAATTTTTCAAGATTCCAGATATTATATTAATATTTCTTTCAAATAATAGGAGAATCCCTTCAGGCGACGAATCTGTGAAGTGTTTTCCCCTAGTGGAGATGGCAGCCTGACATTCGACGATTTCTTAAACATGATGTCAGTGCTCAGTGAATCTGTAAGTTTCTTTTTAGACGTACCTATTTTGGAGTACTATTACAGCTTAGTACCATTATGACGGTAACATAAACGCGTACGGCTGTTGATAATTGGAATAAGGAAAGCGAAGGTGCAGCAAACCTCAGTGGAATGTTCCTTAAAAGCGATCGTTTCGAGACATTGAAAAGAAATTGTTTGGACCAGGCGAATTTGAACACAGAAATGATTTTTTGATTGTCGCGATGAGACGTCACCTCTACAATTTGATTAGTCGAACAGGGTCGAGTTTCTCACAGCATTATTGAAGAGTCTATTAACACTAACCCAGATTCTACATCCATAGCAACAAATGAATATGAAAGCCAGTCAAATCAAGATCTAAATGTTTATATGATCAATTTTTCTCCTTTGGAGCAGAGGCACGATGCACTAAACTTTTTCCTTTTTTTCGGTTTTCACAGGCTCCTATAGAGCTCAAAGCAAAGTATGCATTCAGGATATTTGGTAAAGATCTTCTCTTTAATCAACTACGTTTCTAAATTTTACCCTTCATAGCTATTTTCATTTGAATGTGTTAGTCATAACCGGGCTGTAACACTTTCTCTCTTTCATTCTATGGGTTTTTCGTTTCCCAGAAGTGCATAATCCTTTTTCCTCATTCACTTCCTTTCTTTCTTTTTCTCGAGATTTTGACCAAGATGATTACCTGGGCAAGGAAGATCTCAAACAAACCTTGAGAGCTATCACAGCAAAGGAACTTACTGATGAAGAGATGGAGTTTGTTTCAGATGAGGTATTATATTCAAAATTTCACGCATTACTTGCTAACTTTAAATCCATAAATCAATTCATCTCTCTTCCTACAAATGTTCTTCGCCCAAAACGACGAATGAAGTGTTTTCAGTCAAAGCCTTCGTTTGCCAATCTTTAGTTTTGTTTTGTTTTTTCAATGAATTTATGTTGGGCAGGCGCATGCGATTACAGTGACGACGGCCAAAAAATAATATTTATCTCATGTTTATTCTTCCTTCAAGTTACTAAAAGAGGCCGATATTGATGAGGATGGATTCTTATCTTATTCAGAGTTCGAAAACGTCATCGCAAGATCACCCGAGTTCATGAAGTAAGTCAAAGCGCTGTTTCATTGTGCTAGTCCCTTCCAAAGCGCAAATATTAAAGCGCACGGCAGCCAACGAAAAGCAATCATGCCGAAGATTTCAATTCTATCACGCCATTAGCATCACTCAACATCTTACTTTTCTTTTATTCTTGCAGTAATTTCCACATCCACATATAAAATTAATTGCCAAAATCATTTTATAAAGTGGAGCCAAGATACCCTGCGAGCAATACGTGCTGTTTAGATAACAAACATTGATGGAAATTGTTGGAACAAATTAAAAAAACTTACTAATTAACTTGTATAATTAACACTAGCTTTTCCATCACTCGGGTAATTGCAGTGAAGGACTTGCATTTGTTTTATGAGCCATGGTAAACTGTTGTTTATTTAAAGCTTTGCCCAGTGTCTTTAAAGTTATGAAATTCGGACTCGTGAGACGAAGACCATGCCCAAAATTCAGAAGGTTTGCAATTAGAGCCCGCCAAGAGAACATGCCTGTAAAGGAAAATCATGGAAAGTAAAGTTAACATGGAGCAATTTATAGAACTGATCTTGGAAGACTATATGATGGTCAACTGTTTTATGACATACAATTAATAAAAAGAAAATGAAAAAGTGCTCGGTGTATAGTGCATTAGTCAATAAAGTTAAGAAAATTAAGACAAACAGAAACACATTGTTTTAAAACATTTTTATACCTCTAACGTTTGATTCTGATCGTCATCGACAATTTTCTCTCCACTGTCCTTTGACATGGAAACCGGGAAACAAATTGCTACTCCCTGACTGATTTTCGGGCTTATTGAAACAATTCAAGCCCCCTCCCCTGACTTTTGATTGTGACACTCGCTGACGTATTGTCCTTCTCTGACTTTTGAACTGTATGGTTGGTATTGATCTTGAGAGTCAAAGACTAATTGTAATCACTCCCTAACTTTTAAATCTGACATTCACTTGGGTATAGCTACTCCTAACATCCAAATGTTGTTGCAAACGGACAAATTACTCGCCACTCTCTGGTGGACTTTATCAGAAGCCGCTGCCAAATTGTCACCCCTCTCCCCTTCGACTCGGACCATCACTGATAAATTCAAGACCCCAGAGCTTCCTGAGACTCTTGCATAGTACAGTGTATACAGTGGTATTTCCTTATTCTCCCTGCTTCGAAAGTCGATTTATTTGGAGAGAAAGCCTTTATATAATTATTTACAGTGACTGTTGCGTGGCGACGATGGCTTAAGTACTCACGTAACCTTTTGAAGCAGATGTTCGGATTTGGTCTCTCTCTTCCGTTCCGTCTGAATCTAAATAGTTTGCTCTCTTTTTCCTCAGCTTCTTGAAAATTTTATTCCCGAAAGCAGCAACTCAATAAATGCAACTCGAAAGTGCCTTTTTCGAATGGCGAACACAACCGGATTTATTTAAGAAATGAATTCGAATTTACCATCGCAACGGTAAAACGACGAATTGTTGTTCGAGTCTTTTTCCATCTGAGAGAATTTCATGTAAGGGCGAAAGCAGAGGGCAAAAGGAAATACAGAAAAGTCCTCAGTATCATTATTGTAGTTGTTTTTAGGGCTTTTTTCTCTTCTTGGAATTTTTTTGGCTTCTATATAGCTAGAGATTTGATGGGTCAGAGTGTCTTTTTCGTGGCGGTGGGCCTGCTTAAAGATGAAAACTTTAAGGAAGATGACTGAACCCAACAATGCTGCCATGAAAGTTGCGACTGTAAGGAATAGTGATTGAGACAAGAGAATCAACATGACGATTGATGCATTCCAAGGTATAAAATAAGAGCTTTTGCGAGCAGCTTGTTACGTGTAAAGGAACATTTTATCGTCCCATATTGTTCACAGCTCATTATAACCAGGTGACAAACTGACGCGAACCAAAACAAAATGAACGAGCTGGTAAACACTAAATCAACTTTACAGAGGTCAGTCTTATCTTTGCCTTGCAGCAGACAGATCAGGCTTGGTTCCAAACAAGCGGGTTGAAGAATCAGGCCAGTCAGTAAATCAGTGAGTGCTAAGCATGCCAACAAAATTTTCGAGCGTGTTTGGAGCCGTTGTTTTGTTTTCACGATCAAAATAACCGACACATTCATAAAAACAGGTCAAAGGACAGGCAACGAGGCTGGGAACAACTGTTGTAGTGAGAAGGATATGTCAACCGCATCAGGAGAGGAAGATCGCGAAGAATCATGTCTGGGGAACAAGTTGTATAAAATGTTTTTAGTCCCCATCGAAGAAGATTCATTCATCTTCGCCTTGAAGTTGAGATGGTCAGTTTTAGCCGAATATTCACCAAACTAAAAAGGGAATGAGAAATAAACAAAGAGATTGCAAATACTGATTCGTAAATTGAAAGGCGTTAAGCCTACTAAAATGTCCGCGCGAAAACGACATTTGATTTCACCAGCAATCAAGAGCGATAACGAATGATATAGAACTTCAGTTGGAAAAACTAAACAGATTCTTCATTCTTTCTGTAAGAGTTTGAAACAGACAGCTATATCTTAAAGGGAGAATTCACATCAAATGGCGACCATTCACGACCAAACTGTTTCAAAATATTCTCCAAATCAAGTGACTAAGTAACCGACGGCTAATTTTTGGTCGGTTTGAAATCTGAAAGGTTTACTCAAACGAATTCAATTTTCAAAGGTGCACAGACTTAAGAGGCACTTAACATGCCCTTGACAAGGACCGATTCAAAAGGTATGGAACTCCATTTGGGATTTTAGCACCAAGAATATTAAAAGAAATGTGGCAACCTCTGTAGCTATACTCATCAGTGAAAGCCTCAAACGAAACGAATGGAACTTGGCAAAAACCCTCAGCCTGTTTTTAAAAAAATCAAGCACTTAGAGCTTGACGCTTATCAGAAGTAGATTTTCTTGGGAATATTTTATTAGCTAACAGCTTTTTTCTCGCTTTATGGAAATAAGCAGCTAATGGGTTGGTTTTCAGTTAATAGCAAATGGAAATTTGTTTCTAATCTCGCAAATTAGCCCCGTTTTAATGATTATATCGGATTGTTCGACATATCTATAAATAGCGTTTCGAATACACATGAAAACTGAATTTCTTGCAATAATTCCTCACCTTAAATATCTAATCCACGTGGAAGAGAGCCGCAGAGTTAAAAAAACATGGCGGCAGAGCTGAGTTTGCCTTTAATCTTTGTAAAATAAAACCCACATTTTCTGTGATTGTTGAGAAAAAACGAAGCCAGTGTAGTATCAGAAGTATCGCATAGTGATGATATGTTTCGCTTCGAGTCACCTACTATTGTCTGTGAATATAGTGATACCTCACTGTGAAATCGAAGGTAAATAAATTTGAATGTTGACCAAGTTGCCTGACAGAACATGGAGATGAAGCTGTATTTGTTTGTCCGCTAAAAAAAACTTTGCATTATAACTGAAAGCTGATATACACTGCACCAAGAGTATATTACACTGAAAGTATAATCGCTTCGTTTCAAGGCAGCAAGGATCAAAGACAGCTTTTGATAAACTGAAACAGTTGTTGCGCTAGAATTAAACAGCGGAAGAAGACAGACTCATTCCAACTTTTCTTTGAACGACTTTGGAACACAAAATTAGAATTCCTTTTGCAACAGTTCGGAAAATGCGGATTACTAACTTTCAGTTTGAATTAATCATGCACTTGAAAGAAATCGAAGATTAGACTTTTACAAAACAAGCTTGGTTTCGATTGGTTTCAATTCTAGGAGTGATAAAAAGAAGAAATAATATGCCGCCAAAATGCTAAGTTTGTCTTTGACAAGTGTAAGGATCTAAGTTCAGTTTTCATTTGGGGACAAACTTGCTATAGGACTAAACATGAAAAAGATTTCCCTTCCTCATGCTCTACCAAATCACACATTTAAAGCATTGTTTTCAACTTTATTGCCTTTTGTAATTTGTTCTTCCCAACTTAATTTTTCAAACGCTTTGGTCACGGAGGCTCGTCGAAATAAAGCGACTACTTCAAGGAAGCCTTGACTTTTGTTACCGCTAAGCTTTCCTTTACGTTCATTTTATTTATTTATTTATTTATTTTTCATCATCGTAATTATAACTTTTGGGAACAGATTCCTAATGTGGCAAAACTGACATGAAATACTTTCAACCGCTGTCAAGAGCAGTCGATATTTTCTTGACGTTGTATGATGTAATGACTTCACCGGCCCTCTTAAAAAAAACACCCAACCGAAATAAAAGCAAACTTAGTCCAGTCGCAAATATTTTGAAGTCACCGGCTCTCAACCAATAAAAGAAGGGATTTAACAATTCATCCCTGTTCATCAAGCGGCACGCTGATTGAATATTTTGGTGGGTAATTACAAATCTTATTTCCACAAGATAAGTTGTCTCTCCAAATGCAACTGCTAACAAGGTTTACATGCGATCCGTTTTAACTATTTTTATTATTATTTTTTTCTCCATCTCTGTTGTAATATATTTCTAGAAATTACAAGTATAGAAGGTCATTAGTAAAAAATATGTCTAAGAAAAAGAAAATACAATGCAAAAGTGACATTTTTATCATTAAATTTCAATAAACAAGTAAAAACCTATCTTTACATTCACATCAGCAGCAAAAATTCTCCAAATTTAGAAGTATCTACCAAAGCAAGAGGGCTCGTGAAAATCAATGACCAATTCGACAAGCCCCGACTTTTGATGACGCAAAGCTTTCCTTTGCGTTCATTTTAACTTAAGTCTCATCATTATAACACATTTTGCAACAGATGCCTAAAGTGGCAAAACTCGCACGCAATGCTTTTAAACTCTTTTAATTTCATGATTTATTGACCTCTCCGGCTCTCTCAACAATGACACCCAGTTGAATTATGCCGAATTCTCTCAAATGAAAGCAAACTCGGTTCAATCGTTAAACTTTTGAAGTCACCCGCTCTCCAAAAATAAAAGAGCGGATGTTACATAGTCATTTCTGTTCATCTGACGGCTAGGTGAGCTGAAAATTTCATCGGGTAATTGAACCACTCACTTCTATTTTACAAATAAATGTAGGTACCATCCTGAGTCTTTTCAGCGATACGTGGATTGTTTAGGGGGCATATTGAAATTTTGGCCCATTTAAAGGTGGACTGACAATTGAAAGAGATCCAAAACGAACTTTGGCCCTTTTCGAAGTTAATCAAGAAGCGGGGACATCAACTGAGGGACGGCATATCGAAAATGAATTACTCTTCCTCTGTTGGCTTTGGAAACAATTGCAACAGCTCATTAGTTCCTCAAACCATTCTTCGGCGATATGATTTTTCTTCCGAACTTACTCGCAACTTTCTCATCGCAGCAGCCGTTCTGAGTTTCGTTGCTTGTCCTTTGACCTGCTTTTTTAACGGATTAGTCATTTTAGCCGTGAAGGTAAAAAGAAGACTTCAAACACACTCAAACATCATGCTGGCGTGTTTCGCACTCACTAATGTACTGAATGGCGTGCTGGTTCAACCCCTGAATGCAACTCTGGCGATTTTTCTGCTTCAAGGTAAAGATTTCCACGAAGTGTGCGAAGTTAATTTGGCGTTTAGCTTCTCTTTTATGGAAGTTAGCTTGATATCTATGTGCCACTTGATTCTGATCAGTGGAGAACGCTACCTCACCATAAAGTACTCTCTTAGACACAACGAGGTGCTCACAAATACCAGAGTTATAGTTTCATCGTTTCTTACCTGGATCACAGCAGTCATTCTCTATTTCATTTTGCCAAACACTATGATGACTTTCGCCATTTTAGAGATCATAGTGTTTTCTTCGATTGTTATACTTCAGGTTCTGGTCTATAAACAGGCCCGTCGTCACGAAAAAAGTATTCTTACCCACCAAGTTTCTATGGAAGCAAAAGCTAAATTTAAAAGAGAGAAGAAAGCTTTAAAATCAACTACCCTTTTAATTGTGATCGTTATACTCTTTTTCCTGGTCTCATTTACTTTCCTTAATTTCACGTGGTATATATTCGAGAAAAGATTCTCGGATGAAGTTAAGATGTCCGCTCGTCAATTTTGTCTCGGGATAGTGACTCTTAATTCCGTTGTCAATCCAATTATTTACACAGTTCGAAATAGACATTTTAGAGTTGCTTTTATCGAGATGTTGTTGGGAAAAACTCTTCAAGAAGCTGAAGAAAATGAGAGGAAATTGTTTAGATTTAGACAAAGAGTCATGGCTGTGAGACTTGAAGCTAGACAAGAAAGAAGAGTGAATAAAGGATGTAATCAAATCCAACCAGATGATGCAAGGGATCCAGAGGAAATTACATCGGGCGAACAGATCAGCATCACCACGAGAACAGTCCCTGCTGACGACCATACTAGATAAGTAGTCCATCTAACTAGTTGATATGTGATCCATTTTAATCGCTGATTTGCAATAAGCATATGAAGATTTATTTTTCGCTGCTTGACTTATTGTATCAGAGACCGCGCAACAAGTTTTTTGAGTGGGGAGGGGGGCTATTTTTGGCTTCGTTATTTTTGTTAAACTATTTTTTTGTTTAATTTTAGCAAAAAAGTGGGGGGGGGGCTAAAGCCCCCCCCCCCCAGTCCCTTTCTCTGCGCGGTCCCTGTGTACTAACCATCACTCGGCAAATCATTAACCCGTTCCTGTAGCAGTCTCCTGATGACTTAAGCTAAGTCTTCTCGAAACATGGTGTTCTTTCCTTTGAGAATGAATAGTTAGCTTGGGAGACAAATCCTTTAACATTATTAGCAATGGCCGCTGCAGTGAATTAAAACTTTAATTTAAAAAGTATTCTATTTGTGAGAATGAAGATCATCACTTAACATCAAATTGATTCAGTAAAATACCTCAGTAGGCAAGGAAGGAACATTCTGACTATGTTGAAGATCAAGGAGTCAATATAAACCACTTTTCCTAAGAATTGCACAATGCAACTTCCTCATAGTTTACTGTTTAGCCTAATAAGAATGCAAGTGGCTATCCCATTGTTGCACATTGTATACCTCATTTTATAATAAACGGACGGAAAAAAATAAAATCCAGTTTACGAGTCGTTTTTCCTTCTATACTTATAGGTCTGAAACGAATTGTACTGCTGAGTCTAAATCAGTTTGTTACTTCTTTGTATAGTCTGGTTCATATCCGTCTCAAAAGTATCACCCGCCGCCCACTATTTGTAAAAAAAAAAATAATTTCCGATTAGAAACAACTGGCAGCAGAGCTAATGTACGTCACGTGGCAAACTTCAGAACTTTACTATTTTCTACTATTGTTACTGATTACCATCCTCTCCAAACAAAGCTGTTCACGATTCCCATTTCTCTGGCCGCTCTAGTTCTGTTTGAGTGCGCAGTTTTATGGGACCCTTCACTAGTCAGGCACTTCACAACCTCCACTGAGTTTAGCTCGTACTTCTTTTGATAGCTGCGACTGATCCAGTAATCTTCGAGGGTGCTCTTGTTTTCCTCTATCGTGGCCTTCCGTTTCCTCTATTTCAAATTTCTTGACTCGTTTTGCTCGATGTCGATTTAATGCCGATTCAATCCCGAAGTACAATCGACAAAACCTTCGTATGTAATTAGTTCCAATTAGTACTAATCACGTAATAATTTTCGAATGTGACAATGGACTTCTAACTCAGTATGAAAGCAGAAAAAGTTCTCACTTTCCTCATAACAACGTTTGTATTTGGTTTGTTGTTAGATTTATCGTTTCTCTCTGCCTCATCTCATTTCCTTTTTTCCCTTTCTTCCTTTTTTTCCTAAATCCTACTTTAGGAACTATGACGTCATCTTTCGGTTTCAGTGCTAGACATTTGTTGTTTATGAACCCGCCATCTTGTGCTCTGACAAAAGCATCTTCTCCTCGCTTTTCTCAGTATTTTAGCATCTAAATAGCTGCAGTTTAGTTTAAAAAAGTGTTTTAGTATCAGCTCACGTAATTGTGAGTTAAGTCAAGCAGTTTTTGAGCTTAGAAGGAAGTCTTCTACATGCATCCAAGCGACAGTTCACCCTTCCTCTGTTTCTTTGTGGAAAAAATTGGCGCCCAGAGTGGACGAAAACCCGGACGTCAACCCTTTTACAAGAAGAAGTCGATTATTAGTTCGCATAGCAAGCCCATTTTACATCGACAGAGACTTCATTAAGCTTATACGAAGCGAAGGTTGGTAAACAGGTACGAGAATAAACAAAATTTCTCTCCTTGAAAGAAAAAGTTAATCAGTCCTAAGGTCGAGTTGGTGAAAACAATATGAAGCTCTTGGAAAACGCCCGTTTGGACACTCTAAGTGCAGCCATTTCCACGGACAAGGGAGACAGCCAAATTGATGGCAGGTAAGGTATCTAGATAATGAATACGTCTACAGTTTGTTGTTTATCTCTGTTTTGAAATGTATTTAAATTTTTTGTATCTAATTCCGTTCGGTAATTCTTCGCTTGAACCATATTTGTATTTCCAAGCTTACCCTACACATTTGAGATTGTCATAAGTTTACTCAGTGTCGATAAGCCATTAGCCATGAACAGCGAAATTATCTGATCCAGAAAAATAAACTTCGAAGGTCGTAATGAATTTGCGAGGCTCAGCATATTCCATATCAGCTGACAGTCATTCACTAACTCTAGTGTCGGGGATCACTTTATGGTTTAATATTTGTCCACTCTCGCTGTATTTTTAGTGTTATTTCAACCTTAACTATCTGAGGCTGTAGATACTGGTACACGAAAATTTCCTTCAAGACTTCAGCTGACATAGCTCTTAGAGAAAGAAAGTTTTGGAGCGCCTGAGTTTTCTTGCGGAATTGCAATTTTAAGTTCTTTTAGAAACAAATTTTTTTATTGGCTCGAGACTAATAAAATTTTGGCTGGGAACTTGAATTGACTTTTGATTTGCATGTGATGATTTTCATTTGATTGAGGAGAATAAATTTAATGCTGCATTTTGTGAGGCTTTCCACCTAAATTTATTTAATATGCTGATCAAGAACTATCCCAAAAATCTGCCAAACTCTGAATCAAAAATAATCTGCGCTACACAATTGTGGCTCTTACTACCTGTCAATTGCCAGTTCTGTTGGTTTTTAGTATACCTATGTCGATTTGTCACTTCCAACACAAATACAGATTTTTCATGTTAGAGACTAATGGCCTAGAATCATCAGTATACTTATTTTCAATACTTTTCTCTGTAAATTTTGTAAGGCACTGATAGGAGAATTTGTTTATTAGTCAAGAGGTTTAGTTGGTGATCATTTCCTTTAGTATGACGTTAGACCCTTCAGTTTGATTTAGAGGTAATTTTATGTGGAGAAAATTAGATGATAGTCACTCTGAGGCGTCAGAGGGTTAAGCAACTGTACCTACAAATCAGCAACTGACAGGCATGCTGCTTGTCAGTATAGAGAAATCTTTTTCAGTTTGTCAACAACACTCTTAGACATCATTGTATCTGTATCACTAACTAAACTACAGTAACTCCAGGATCACTTGTACTTTTGACAACCAGATTTTGTAACTCCATCCCAAGGGTCACCACCTTATCGCGGTGGGATGGTTTGTGTGTCTCAGTAACCCCTAGAGCTATGTCGGCTGGAGTCTTGAACTCCTGGTAGGGTCACCCATGCCGAACAGGTCGAAGGGTAGAGACCAGACAAAGTGTGATCCCCTGGTGCTCCAGGCTGGGGGTTGGGTTCGGACTGTTAACCCACCCCCATTAAAATTAGACAATCCATCCTCTATTTAAATGGTCTAGGTGGCAGGACCCCACAGTAACAGGTTGACACCTTTAGACATAACCAGGAAGGAATCCACAAATCTGACAATGGTTGATGACGTAAGGGAACTGTCAGAGTTCCAGTAAGACTGTTTGTCAAATTGAATGGGAGGCAATGCTAAAGGCCTGTGTCCTTTATTGTGTGAAGCCATATACTATAGGATATGATATTTATGAATGTATTTTATTCCTAGAATTGAAAGTTACTCTTGTAAGATGGCTGGTAGTGACAAAAAACTATATAAGAGTCTGAATGAAGGATGTGCCCCTCATGAACTTCAGGCCTTGTCACCACCACAAACTACACACTCAGCAAGCATATCACCTACCAACAGCAATTACCCTGCAGTCCTTACTAGTACACGGCAGAGAAGGCTGAGCACAGGAAGTCAAGAGGAAGCTGTGCTGTGTGACACAATCAGTCGCAAGATGTTGTTCTATTTGATTTCCACCCTGAATGCATCATTTAACCCAGATTATGATTTCAGTAATGTGAAGTCTCATGAGTTCTCGCGTGAACCAAACCTTCAATTGGTGGTAGATGCAATCAATGGGAATCTGTCTGCCATTAATGGTGAGACATATGTTGCTCTCAGGGCAGGATTGTGGAGTGCAATTGATGAAGAGATTAATCTGGTGGAGTGTGACATATTCAGGTAATTGCATGGATTATAGTAAAGTTCATATTTATATTATGATTTTACCACTTGATGCCAAAATATTTAGTTAGATGTTAAGGGTTCATGACTACTGAACTTGAATGTATTTTTATGGTAGGTACAAAATGTAGGTGGTGAAAGTGTGCTGGATTTAAAATTTAGAGGTTCATGCAGTTTCTAACTTTTCACACTTTCTCTCACAGCCATTTGTTTCACAGCAGTCTTAAGTTCAGTCACCACACTGTTTTTTTTATAATTGGCCAGTTGATTTGCCACTTACTAGCTAACTAATAAACAAACTTTTGTTCAACATATTACCTATCCAATTTGTTTAGGCATTCCCAATTACCAAAGAGGTGCCAAATACATTATTACTGAAGTCAAGTTATTTGAGTGGTTTGTAATTTTGGAAATGTTTTTTTTTTTTTTTTTATTTATGTCTAGCTACAATCCTGATCTTGACTCAGACCCTTATGGCGAGGAAGGAAGCCTCTGGTCTTTCAACTATTTCTTCTACAACAAGAAAATGAAGAGAATATTGTTCTTTACATGTAGAGCAACAAGGTAGGAAGCACATTTTGTAGAGGAAAATCTTTAGTGAAGTTCTACAGTACTGTTTAGAGGCTGAGGAACATAATCTACTGAAACCCCATATTTGTCTTGTTATTATGAAGTCCCCTGTTTTAATTCAGGAAAATGTGGGGACAGAATAGTTTCTATCACAGATATGAAGTAGAACTTTATCCAAACAGTCTGAAGCAACCTCATATCTTGAGATAATCTCTTTACCTTCCAAGACTGTGCCTAAACTTTGCTTGAAATTCTTCTGAGACCAGCAATCCTCTAAAGAGAAAGGAAAAACAATGCTTTTGCTAGAGTATTGGGGTAAACAAACTGAGCTACTGGAAACTTGAAAATACACATCCTCCTAATTGTTTCTCTATTGTAAGAATTGTTATTCTTCTCATCACTCATAAAGAACTGATCAAAGTTGGAATTTACAACAGGTCCATTGCTCAATACCAGTCTGATGAAGATGAACAGTTTGAAATGGAACCCATGGATATGGCATTTGAGGAGTCCTCTTTTAGCGGTATGGAATTACACTTGTTAAAAGTCTAATTCACATGTAAAGAACAGTAAAGGATGTGTGGTCTGTGCATTTCATCAGAGACAATGATGATAATATTGATAACAGTAGTTGTATTGAAGATATTGTAGTAATCATCGGAGAAATTACAAATATTTGTAACACTGTTTATCTCCTCTTTTCTAGGAATTCTCCAATTCTCATTTCCTAAGTGAAATCAAGTCAGTGTTGAGGATTACTTTTCTTGGTTATTAAAGAGAGGGAGGGAAAGGTGTTAATTATTATTATAATTATTATAGCTAACCATCATGATACAATCTTAAATGTTTCTTGCAAAGACCATATGTACATATGAATGAATACTGCCCACTTATTTTACCATCATACACTTGTAATATAACCATGGTTCTTTATCATACTCACATTTTGTACAGAAACATTAGTAAGTTTTTTAACAAGTTTATTTTAATTGTAAGATTCATACATGTATTTGTTCACTCTTTGGACTAGGGGGTAATAACAGATTTAATGGAGGGGAAGTTTTTAGAAATATAAAAAAAATGTGTGTGCGCATCTGATGTTCTGTGCCTGAGTGTATGACATGCATCTGCTAGTTAACATATATATGAGTGGTACTGTACATGTAGTTATTCTTAACTGTTGATTCAGTATTGCATTCATGCATACGTTATCAATTTTGGGTTCATGAAGTTGTTTTGGTGTTTCTATCATCTTTGGATATAAAATAAGTGCTATGGCAAAAGACTGAAGGTTGCTTTGTTGAAAGTAACAGTTTATCTTCTATTTAATAATTGAGTGGTTATTATTGTATATGAACTGTGTGATTATATTTGTCTACCAGCATCACAGTTAGTTTATACAAGTGTCCTTCACTATGTTCAGACTTTGAATGTGTAGAGTTGCAAACAACCTCTTGGCCAAGATGACTCTGAATGGGTTAATTGTTTGCTTACTGCCAGCTTCTTACAAACAGAACTCTAGAAATCCAAGCGGCATGATCAGCAATATTTTGCTGTTGCAAATAGTTTCTCTTAGAGGTGTTTTGTTCCACAGACCAACTGAAAAGCAAAAACCAAGGGTTTGATATTGCAGGCTAAGCTAGCTGGTTTGGAGGCACATTAATTCTGTTTAATCTAAAGTAACTCGCATGAAGGTAATATTTAGGGCACATAGGTGTTGATGTGTAAATGCTAGATTTTGTCAGCAGATAAGTGCACTTTGAGCAGATAGTATGTTACTGGTAACCTGTAGTTGTTCCATTCAACTACAGATCGCCTTATTTCTGACAACAAGGTCACTGTTCAATCTTTGGTGTTTCCATATGTTTGCTTAAATAAGTGTTGACAGTAAAAATATCACCATCAACAAATTGGCACTCCCATGAGGGTTGAAAGATTAACAAAATGTCATTCTTGTGAAGCACATTGTGTTGCTTAGCAAGTTTAGGCAATTTCCATTCATTATATCAGCATGGATATTTAGGTGTGAAAGGCATATCGAAGAAGCATATGTGGTGCGCTATAACCATTAGGCTGGTACTGTTCCAAGGTTACTCTAGGTCAGTGCAGAAATGCTTTACCTTAAAAGGTGCTAATTATGTAAATTAGTATACTTAGATCTGTTTGCAAATGTTGTGAATTTTATTGTGTTGTTGGTGATTGTTGAGAAAATTATGCTGGTGTCTCAAAACTTTACTCCCAATACCAAGCATCAAATATCAATTCTCTGCACTGTCTGTCATACATTTTGTATGAGTTTAGCCATGATAATTTTTGTGATATCAAACAATATTCCCGGTCTTTCTCATCACTTCTTTAGTTTAAAACTGAACTTATATTGGAAAAATTGCTTATTGGTCACAGACTGTCTGCTGGAGTGAATGAGTTATTTTGGGTTTGTAGAAAATGTTCTCATGGAACATATCATTTTCTGCAAACTGTAAGATGGACTTAAGTAACATGCATAGCAGGTTTTATTTGTTTTAGTAAGAACCCTGTCAGCGTTCTTACCATTGTATTAAGAAAATTTAGTCCATAAGGTAAATATTCCCTTTTGCTTCGCTTTTTAGTTTTTAACAATTTTACATTTCAATTTAATTTTATTACTTTCTCTAAGGTTGAAGTGTCATTTACTTAACAGCCAACAGAAGGGTTATTAAAATTTCACCATGTACAGTTATGCACTTTGGTTGTAAGGTTGTATTAAACAAACTGAACATTGGAATTTTACTTGTAGTTTCATCATTTTTCTCTCAAGTCCAGTGTCATTTAACCCTTTCTTTTTAAACTGTGGCTTCTGTTCCTTTCTATCTTTCCTCCCTTTCCACTGATTAAACCATCAAGTTTTGTTGTCTGAAACTCAAAGGAAAGGATACTTTTGGGTGTAAGTTTTTAACCTTGAAAGAAGGATGTGTTGAGAAATTGTACCCCAAGAGAATTTCATATGAAGAAAAGAGTCACATTGTGTAACTGGAGTTGTTTAGTATGAATCAAACTGCAAAGATAAAGTGATCTAATATGACTCAAGCCTCAGTTGACTTCAAATGAATGAAGATTAGGGACTAAAAACTTTCCCTTTACTCCATCTGTTTCCTCAATTTGCACCCTTAAATGAGACAGCCAGCTTCTACACCTAATCACAGGGGTAATTACATCTCTCGACCTGGTGGGTGGAATGAAACTCAACTTTAGGGGTGCTGACAATGGTTAATTTAGGGGGGAAGTTTTTTCGAAGTATTAATGAATGTTCAGTACACATCTCTTAAAAAGGACAGAGCTCAATGTATGTTCAGTCTTTGATAAGAACAATCTCTCCCGCTGTTTCTCCATTGTTGTTCCTGTGATTTTTTTCCTTTTTTTTCTTTATTTGATGTACTTTACCCTATTTTACCACGTCCTATCACTCCCCCCCTCCCCCCCCCCCTGCGGCCGTGGGTTTGTCTGTATTACTTCAGGGCCGCTCCAGTCCCTTGTCGGCCGAAGGTAAAAATGGCTGCCAAGGATGGCGGGTTGGTGTTCGAAGAAACCAGCGAGTTTAAAACCCAGAGGAACACTTTTTGCCGCCTGGATGGGAAATAAGAACAATGGACGATGGAAGGATCTATTATGCGAAGTGAGTCTTTTCCCGTAGCTTAATTCGTGATTTTATGAAAGGTCCTTTCAGGGATCTGTTCCAAAACATTTTGTCCGGCTTACGGATGCAGGTTCCAGTACAGGAACTGAGTTGTGATCGTTATAAATTAGAGGTTTTTAAGAAAAAGATATTTATATTAATTCATAAAGTACATTTTTCCTTTTCTGTATAAATTTTTGTCGAACATAACGTCCTACAAACTCGCTTTTAATTTTTTCTTAATGTAAACAATGATATTGGACGTTTTATTGTTGGTCTCGCTCAATTGATTTGTGACAATTTAAACATTTGCTTACCTTATTCTTAATAAAAATTTAATTTTATAGTCATTTGACAAAATCAACTCAGTGGGAACATCCAACGTCGGGAAAAAGATACAAAGTCTGTGGAGGTATTTCAAATTACATGATTTACAAATTAAATTGTTAATTGTGTCAAACCTTTCAATCTTAAAAAGCGTATAAAATGTAATTTCTTCTTGAAATGTCAATAGAGCACCCAGAAAGGTAACAAGAATTGCCAGTTTTTCTGCAAGGTGTTATCTCCATAACCAAAAACTCTTCGAATCGATTTACAAAGGAATGTTGAGAAATGGAAATGGAGATTTCCTGATCAGATTTTGAAGCTCTGATAGGGCTTACAAATAGATTATCGTTTTTTTTCATTTATTTTTTGTAGAGCTTCCACAAGGCTGGCAACAATTATATGACAGTAAAGGGAGTGTTTTCTTTTTTTGAGTGAGTAATTTAATCTCTTTGAAATCATATCACAGAGATACTATCCTCTGAAAATATTAAGTATTTGAAGATGCTTGATTTGGGGTCATTACCCATTACCCAATTATATTTTTAAAAACTTGAAATTAGAAATGACTGCTTTATTGCAATCTCTGACCATAGACTGAAAGTCACTTGTCATGTAGATGCACATGTCTGGATAAAGTCCCTCAAAAATTCTTTGAAGCGGTCATCCCTAAGAAGAAAATCTGTCACTGGTAACAATTTTTTGATACAGATGAAATTTTCCTTGATTTTGCTTTTATGTGCAAACATATTCCGTGATTTACTGTTTTATGGAAAATTTAACAAGTTGTTGATCTGGAGATTTTTTTGGTATCCTAAAGACTTCTTGTCGTAATGGGAGAGCTGACATATATCCAAGTTCTCATCTTGTGTTAAAGTAGGATCCATTCTTAAAGATAATTTAGTTTCCACTGATTGATTGGTACAATCTTTTAACAGTTCTGTGAATAGAGTAACCACTTATGCTGACCCAAGAATAGCCCTAAACTTCACCAAAAGTAAAAAAAATTCAAAAAAGTTGGATAGTCACTCTACAGCCATGCATGTGTTAAATGGAGAGGACTTGAGTGGAAAGGTTGCCATTGTGACAGGAGCCAATAGTGGCATAGGTTAGCACATTTAACACATTGTGTTCAGGAACCATTTTAAAATTTACTGAACCTTTCTTGAAGGTCAGCTATCTACAACAAGCATTGTTTCTTTATTTGCTCTCAGATTACTATTATCACACCAAACCTCTCTTCAATGGCCATCTTTCTACATGTTGAAATTAACCATAATTGTCCTTTGATTTGCCTTAAGCATGTAATAGTTGGATGATTACATCTCAATGCCCCTCTCTTCTTACCTGGTTTAAACCATTCCTTTGTTTGATCTCATCCATGTTTTTAAGCCAACAAAAACTGTAGCTACATGAAGTAATGATTAACCCTTTAACTCCCAAGATCTGATTGTTAATTCTCTCCTCTAGCTGCTACACATTTCATTGTAAAATGGTTACGTAGAATTTGATGTTCAATCTAGATAATATCGTGTACCTGATAATTTTGGGTAATCTCACCACCTATTTTCCTACCCAGGTAGTCAGGCAGTATTCAATCTATTTTATCCTATTTTAAAAATTTTTGCTCCTCTTAACCCTTTAAACTCCCAAGATCTCATTAGTAATTCTCTTTACTGTCACCATATAAATATTGCAATATTAGTTTGGAGTATTTGGTATTGGATCAACTAACAATCCCCTAATTTATGTCTTTCTTTTGTCCTCATCACTTGTCTTCTTGATATTGTATTGATATTTTAAGGAGAAATTCTGTCTTGGTCTCTTATATGGGAGTTAAAGGGTTAAACTAATGAAATCTTTTTGTTTGTTTTTTTTAGGTTTTGAGACTGCCAAGGCACTGGCACTTCACGGAACTCATGTGATCTTAGCTTGTAGGAACATGAACAAAGCAAACAGGGCGGCAGCTATGATTAGAACAAGTACAGGTCATTAACTGAAATGTTTACTCTTGTTAATTTCTTTCCTATGAATATTTTACTGTTTATTTACCATACTCTTAGATATTTCCATTACTTAAATTAATTCAAATTGTCAGTGTCATGATATTATCAGAAGGCTCCATTTTAGGTCAGCAGTCATCATATTACTAGTACCCAGGGCACTGCATACAAAAAGGGTGAATCATTATGCACTTGTGGTGTGACTTAGTTTAGTTTTGTTCTTCTTGCTTGGCAATAAAACATGCATGTTCTCACAATCTACATCTCCTGTTCTTGATCAAGAAGCACAATGGTCATTCCTACTGTACTTTCAATATTTAATTTTATATGTACATTAATGGAGATGTATTTTCAGAATTTCTTATAAGTTTTGTTATTAAGTTATATCAAGCATGTGGGGAATTAAAACCAGTACATTCAGCAAACTTTCTTAGTTTTTAAAATATAGTTTTATTTTCTTACTTCCTCAAATGCTGTAGACCCCTGAGGGTTTACGTGGAAGCCATGTTGCTAGACCTGGCATCATTTACAGTATCAAAAACTTTGCAGAAGAATTTAGAGGGCGGAAACTGTGAGTGAAACCTACTCTAAATCAATTATTTAACCATTTTGGCAGAAGGCAATATTTTAAAGAAAGGAATGTGCTGTGTGCAATTTTTCAAAAACTGAGTAAGAATTTGAAAATGCAAAAAGTGCACACAAAGTGTAAACTAGTTAACTTGATTAAGAAAAGCAGAGGAGGAGTCCTTATACTGTTTCATGCATTAATTTTTAGAAAAATTCACAAATCACATGTACCTAAACAGCTTTTTATCTTTCATTCATTTGCCAAATTTCTCTTAAAATTTTGCAGTTTCTTCTTCAAGTTGGTAATTCTAAATGTATAATTTTATTTCTCAAATTTGGGATTTTTCTAGTCCTCTTCACATTCTTATTTGTAATGCTGCTGTATTTGGTTTATCATGGAGCAAGACAGAGGATGGAATTGAGAGCACTTTTTTGGTGTCAATCATCTTGGCCATTTCTACCTTGTGAAGTTGATAGAAGACATTCTTTGCTCATCATCTCCTGCCAGAGTTGTAGTTTTGTCTTCAGAATCACAGGTGAGAGAAATCTGTGTTCATTTCACCAAATCACAATTTGGGCTTTTTGTGCAGTGTAAGTTAGCCATAATGACTCTGTTGTTTTGTGTCCCTCAGTTTCCAATTTTGAAGGGCCAGCTCCAAAAAGTAATATACCTGTACTGTAGAAAACACTGAATGGTAATTTTGAGAGATAAGAAAATAACAAGAAAAGTCAGCTAATTTCAAGTATTGTAGCAGTACTGTGTTATTGTTTCATATTATACTGATAACTTTTTGCTGATAAATCCTGGCAACATTAATTAAGAAGTACAAAGCTTTGGAACTCCACATCTGAAGAGAAAGTAAAAATTAAGGAGAATCTTGATATTTGATCATTTGATTTTTGAATGTGGAAAATAAATAATGCAATCTGGGTTCAACTTGGAAAAAAAAAAAAAAAAACTTTTGAGAAAAATTAATTTTTTTTCTCTGAAACAAAAGATGTATTTTGAGTTTATTTGGATGATAAGTTATTGATTAAGTCTTTTCTCCTTCCCTAGGTTTCCTGACTTAACCTACTCTACAAAGTTACCTTTGTCAGAGCTACCCCTTTCTAAAGATAAATACTGGTCCATTGTGGCATATAATCAATCCAAACTCTGTAACTTGCTCTTTTCCATGGAACTGAATCGTCGCTTGAAACCAAAAGGAGTGACATGTAATGCTGTACATCCTGGGAACTTGATTTACACTTCATTGTCCCATACCTCGTGGTTCTATTGGATCTTCTTTGTCATGGCCAGACCATTTGCAAAGACACCAGTAAGTTTTAAGTTTTGTAATACACAATAATAAACTTGAAGGACTTCAGACGAATCTATAGTGGCTGTGCAAGAGGGTACCTTATGGTACCTTGTGATACCTGTAGCTCTAATCAGGAATGTCATTCTAAGCACCTCACCTCCTCTGGGGAGAAAGGAAGTGAGAGAGGTGGTGTTTTAGAGAGGAAGGGCATTACCTGTGTTTCTGCCAGGTTGAAAGTTTTTGTTTTGAAATTGCTAATGGGAGCATTCAAGTGGTCATTGTGGAAAAGTTTAACTCTTTAACTCCCACAAGTGATTAACATACCTGTACTTGTAACTTCTCCCTACAATATCCATACATTATCCAGCAAACCTGTTATGAGAATACTCAAACTTGTAAGTAGAAGTTATCTTAATCTAACACCAAATTCTCATAACTAATTTACATGGAAATGTATAGCTGATAGAGGGAAGAATTAAGAATCCGACTTTGGGAGTTTAAAGGTTAATAAATAGTTAACAAATGAGCTGAAAATGTGGCTGTTACAGGGGAGGAGGTTGTTAGTAGTGGGCCTTGTGTTTTTTTAAAGAGACCTCCTTAACATTAAACTTGTCTAACTTACCTTCCTTTTTCCAGGCACAAGGTGCAGCCACTGTTGTGTACTGTGCGACATCAAAGAGCTTAATAAAGTAGGAGGGCATTATTTTAATAACTGTAGTGTGTGCAAGCCATCAGATGAAGCTAAGAATCCTGAAACAGCTGCCAAGCTTTGGAAACTGAGTGAAAGGCTTGTCAGGCAGATAACATTAAATGATTCACAAGTTGTTGACTTGTAGTCAATGGTTGGTTGACTCTGACTTGTTAAGGCCTAAGCCATGCTGAAAGCAACAAGCTGCCATGATAATGGCAGGTTTGTCTAGAAATACTGAAGAGCAAGTGTTTCAAGTTAAAGAACACCTGTTGTTGAAAGAGGCAACAAGAGAAAATCTCAGTTTAATGCAATATAATTGCTCAGGTGATTATAGAAATATGTTTGTGCTGACTACTGGAGGATTATCTTTCCATAAAACTATACACAAAGTGATAGCAATATGGAAGTGCTTAACTTTCAAAATGCCCATTCCATGATTGTTTAGGTTTATGACAATGAAAACAAAAGAAAATATGGTTATTGGGTTCCTGAACTGAATTTTTAATAGTATTATTCTCCCTCAGGTGGAGTCAAAATAGATTAGTAATTCCTTCAACTTCAGCTTAGAGATTATTCAACAGTAATTTCTTGGCCCTCAAGAAGTTATGAACACTGCATCAAAGGGACAAGATGGACCTTTAAAAAACTAAACCAGACAAAGTGAATCAACATTCATTAATCACAAAGTCATAAAAATTATCATGTAATTTTTAAGTTAACTGTTTGACTCTGAAACTTAAATGTTCATTTTAATTGGACATTTAGATATAAGAATGCCACATGATTGTAGAACATTTTTTCAATGAAAATCCAACACCATAAAGATGGAAACCAGATACAGTATTGTTAACAATATTTATTGTAAAGACAACCCATATTAAATTATTAAAACATTTTTTTATATTTCAACTTAAATTTGGTTTATTTTCCTTTCCAACTATCAAAGGAAAAAAAAAGTTTGTGTTTAAGATGGTAGAAATTGTCTCCACCTTTGATAATTTACCTATCAACAAAGAGATTTTCTTTCACTCTTTATTGATGATGCACTCAAGCCGTAGCAATATGCCACATCTCCTCAAATAAATTGCCCACACCCTAAGAAGTCCCCACCCCAATAAGTACCTAAAGTAACCCCTCTCCTAATAGACCCCCTTCCCCCACCTCCTCCCTCCTGTTTCTTTTCACTTTCTTCATAACCTTTTAAAGCTTCAATTACAGTCTGGAATTCAGTGTTATAGAGAATAGTTTCTTTTCATTCACACCTATCTCCTTGTGTACAGGTACATTTATGTACATCTGCTTTAATCTTTGTCTTATTGTTGCACTAACTTAATAAAAGCATCCTCCAGATAAACACCCTCCTTTCAAAGCTTTTCCTCACTTGGCCAAATTTAAGCTTATTCAAGGAAATATAGCATATATCAAGAAAATTAGAGGATGGAATCAGGGCATTAGTTTCTATCTAAACAAGTTAATATCACAGACATCCACTTTAAAGCCATACCTCTTTTCACAGCAGTTTTGGAAGAAATTACACTTTACTTAACAGTATACTTACAAGCAGGTAATTTTACCCACTCACTTTTCACTAAGAATATCTGATTAAGATTGACCTCAGCAGAACCATTCTGAGGGTGAAAACAACCAATGTATGGGGAGACTATTAATAACAATTAACTTAAAGTGAAACTGACACAACACAAAGCAAGGCCTGAATTTTACTCATCAGTAACATTACACTTTCTTTGGAAGTCATCTACCAGTAAGGATTCTCTATCCCACAATTTGGAGTCGTGGATCAAGATTTTTGCAAGGACCATTCATCAATCTCATTGTGACTGAAATTTTATATCTTTTCATCCTCCTTGTTGTTTTAACGAAGTTTCCAGATGATGTTGGCTTTATCTTTTCTTCATTGGTTAAGTAATTTTACCTGAACACCAAGAGTAGTTATTATTCAATTGAGTATGTTGACTCAATAAAACGTTGAAGAAAAAGATGAACACCTAATACCTATCAAGAGTCATTGTATTAACATATCTTTACAGTATGCAAGGTTAAAAAATTATGTAAGGTTAAGTCTGTACTAAACCAAGTACAACCCAGCTGCAGCTTATCCAGGTTTTTACATGAAGTGATTAGAGCATCACTACTCCCTCCTTGGATGGGGCGTTAGTCCATCAAATGCATTTCTAGACTCATCTCACTATTCACCAAAACCCATTTCAGAGACTCTGTGAAAAGCACTGAAGAGTGAAAAGCGGTCCAAGAATACAACATTCACCCCGCCAAGTCTCAAAGCCAAACTCTTTGACCCAGACTCCAGCACACTAACCATAAGATCACTACTTCTCCCACATCATTTTAACCTTTACACTTGAACATCATGATGCATATTCTCCATAACAGCCTATACATTTTTAAAAGCCATAAGGAGAACTTGTCT